ACCATATAACATGACAGGTAGACCTGACAAACGGGCGGGTCGAGCAGGTACAAGTCAAATGTGTTGCGGTCTCACGAGTCAAAAATGTGAACGGGAAAGAAAATACATTACCCATACCCGATCCTGTAGGTACAGGTGGACCCGTGAGTCACCTGTTACCCAAATCTTAATTTTCTTAATTAAATTCAAATAATGCTATAATTTCAAACCAAATCCAACGTTCCATCAACAATAAAAAGCAAGAAAAAACAACAGTAAATTGAAGATTGACAAAATAGTAGAAAATTCAAATTCAACATTAAAAAATAAATAAATAAATAACTTGAGAATGCACTAGAAATATGAGAATTAAGAATTGTCTGTTAAACTCAGCCCAACAACACCCCTTCCCCCCACACCCCCCCACCCCCCACCCCCTCGACGCGCACCCGGTGCCGCCGCCGCAATGAGAGAGAGAGAGAGATTTACCCCATGTTTGTTTAAATTTTCAAACTTTGTTATATTCTACTATCATAACCTAAAAAGTGAAAATGTTTGTTTTAATATTGACTATTCAATTCAAAATCCAATCCTATTTTATTCAACTCAAAACATTTAACAATTACCTTTCTCAATAAAAGTATATAAATTAACAAAAACACTCGCACTTACCTAAGTAACAGTCACCCACCAACAACCACCATCAGTTGTCGATGCCGAAACAACGCACGATCGACCGAATTTAGTCATTTCCGGCCAGACCTACCATGAATATATTTTGCTTTTAGACTAATTAGCCAATTTTTGCTTTTAGAGAGTTTAATAAGCCAAAAGATAGACAATGCAAGTGCATAATCATTTTAACCAGTAAATCACATGTTCCACCCAAGGTTTCATGAAATGGCAAGTGTCCACCCTTAGTTTCATAAATTCTAGAATCCACCCTTAAAATAACACCTCAACAATTATTAGCTTTTGGCACAGATGCAGAAGGTGTTATTACTATACTGCTCCTGACAAATAAATTAATAAATTTTTTTAACCCCAAATTAGTAGAATTAGAAAGATAACCATCTTACTTTCAAAATTATTTCAATTAACACCCTCTTCTTCAACTTTCACAACTTCCCCATCTCTAACCACCCAACCACTGCCATCGCCCCTAGCCAGTACCACCACCGCCACCCAGCCACTATCACCATCCAGCCAAATTAATAATATTTTAGGAAAATCCTATACATCTCAAATTCATTGACCAACATCCTTTTCAATCCAAACCCACCTAACCCTCTAAAATTTCTTTCAATCCAAAAAAAACTTCATCACCAACAATCCAAACAACACATCACCAACAATCCGAACAATTTACCACAACATAAACATGATCCACAGCAATCCGCAACAAACACCCCCAAGTAAGGCGACATTCAACCAAATATCACTCAACACAACAAGAAAGTCAATCACAAGAACTAACCTCGGTGCACCACTCGAAGGCAGGAGAGACTATAATCTCACGAGCAGAGGAGCTTATGACCAGTAGATGCGTGTCAAGAGTTGGTGAAAAGCAATAGTTGGGCCCATAGGTCTTGAGCTGATTGCATGCAAGTGGCACGTTAGTGCAGATCGCAGGACTAAAAGCAATAGCAGACGAAAATGTGCAGCAGTGCAATCGCGCGCTAGAGCAGATCAGTGTAACTAGAGGCAGTAGCGGATGAAAACGCAAGCAATGGCAAGAGGTCTCGTGTGGCGAAGGAGATGTGGGATTTCGCAAACAAACAGGTTGGAAACTACAGCTTGAGGGCAAACAGTGAAAATGGGAAGGGAAGGGTCGTGATGGGGCATCGAAATAGTGGCAAAAAGCCACCAGCTGCTGCGTACGCCAGTCACAAGATTGGTGGCTGACGATTGTGAGAGGGTTGGCATATGTGAGTTAAGGAGGGAGAGAGGAGCGTGGCTACTGGTTAGGGAGAGAAATGGGAGGTTGTGGCTGAAGGAGGGAGAGAGAAGCTGTAGAAAAGGAGGTTTTTGAGAGAGGTTGCTTATGAGAGAATTTTGAGATGTGGCGGGTTATTTTATTTTCAGTTTAGATTTATTATTGTGCAAATGACCATTTTCCCCTTCAATCGTTACGTTAAATAAGTTTTTGTTAATTTAAGGATAAAAATTTGGGGCCTTGTTTCACTATTTTTACCCTATCATATTCCAATATCTTATCCAATCCTATCCATATATACATTTGTTTCAATATTTAAAATTCTCTTTAAAATATAATACTGTTCTATTCAACTCAAAATATTTATATTATTTTTAACCCATATGTTTATTAATTTAACTAAACACTCACAATAATAAAAGTTTATAAATTGATAAAAATACCCTCACTCACCCACATTTGCCAGATTTCAGCCACCACTGCTAGAAGGTGGCCAAAATCTGCCATAAAGGTACACTACTGACTGGATATGGTAGATAGTGCATGGATCTAGTCGAAAAAGGCCAGATCAGCACACTACCGGCCATATCCAGCTAGTAGTGTGCCATTACAGCATATTCCAAGCACCTTTTGATGCTGGTGGCCAGAATCTGACAAATGTGGGTGGGTGGGGGTGTTTTTATCATTTTATAAACTTTTATTTTTGGGGTGTTTAGTTAAATTAACAAACCTAGAGGGTAAAAATAATCTAAATATTTTCAGAAAATGCTATTAACAAATGTACAAAAAACTTCTCAAAATACCACTAAACTCAAATTTTTCTAAAAGCTCCTAAAATAGTAAACCAAACGAAGCCTAGAATTTATAAACCCAAGGTGGAACTTACTATTTCGCAAAACCTTGGGTGGAACATATCAGACCCCTCTGGTTCACTATTTTTACCCTATCCTATCCTAAAAACCCAAAAATGCATTTGTCTCGATGCGTTTGTTTTAGTATTTTGGATAGTATTTTTGAAAAAGTAGGAGTTGAGCGTTTATTACGAGGTAGGATTTAAAAATTAACAGAAACACCCCCTTAGGTTTGTTAATTTCTAAACACCTCTGTAATAAAACATTGAAAATTAACAAAAACACACCCATCCACCCATTAAATACTAGCAGCCGGCCACCACCGCCGGAGGGTGGCCGGAGTCGCCATATCGGCGTAAGACTGGTTGGATCTAGCCGATTGTGCACCGATAAGACCTTTTCCAACCAAATCCATCGCGAATCTGGCTGGAAAGGGTCGGATCGGTGCACTACCGGCCAGATCAAGCCGATAGTGTGCTATTATACCAGATTTCAACCACCTTTCAGTGGTGGTGGCTGGAATCTGACAAATGTGGGTGGATGGAGGTGTTTTTGTCAATTTCTAAATATTTTTTGGTAGTGTTTAGATAAATTAACAAACTTAGGGGGTTTACAATAATTGAATAAAATATTCAGAATAGGGAAACAAATGTGTATTTTAGGGTGTAGTTGGTTCATTATTCTGATACTTTTTAGAATAATATTTTGAAAAAAGTAAAATTGGGTGGTTATTACGATGAAAATTTAAAAATTAACAAAAATACCCCCTAGGTTTGTTTATTTACTAAATACCCCTATAATAAAATTTTGAAAATTAGTAAAAACACCCCTATAATAGAATTTTAAAAATTAATAAAAACACCCCCACCCACCCGTTAAACACCGACAACCAGCTACCACAATCAGAAAGCTGGTTGGAGTTACCGTATCAGTGCATGACTGGCTGGATCTGGCCGGTCGTGCTCCGATAAGGCCTTTTCCGGCTAGATCCAAGGTGGATCTAGCCGGAAAAGGCAAAATCTATTACTAGATCTAACCATTGATAGCCAAATCTGGCTGCATTTGGTAGTCAATGATGGCCAAAGATATGGCTGTCGTTGACGACTAGCTACGACTAAAGATTTGGTCGTCAATGGCTAGATCTTTGGCCATAGATCTAGCCTTTTCTGATCAGATCCACAGTAGATCTGGTCGAAAAAGACTAGATTCGGCGTACTACTAGCCAAATCCAGCTTGTAGTGCATTATTATATCAAATTTAGGACAGCTTCCGGTGGTGGTGGTTGGAATTGGCAAATATGGGTTGCTGAGGTGTTTTTGTCAATTAAAACATGTAAAGTAAAGGCCATTTGACTTGCGCATACCCAAGGTTTTCTGTAACGACAAGTTGGTACCGAAAAGGTTTTAAAACGACAAACAGGTACCTTCCGTCATGTGCTACTAGTGATTTCTGTTTGTTAACAGTGAAAAGACTAAAATGCCCTTGAAAGTTTGATATTTTAGATTTTTATAAATTTTAAAAAAACCCCTAGGTTTGCTAATTTAACTAAACACCCCCATATATAAAAAGTTTGTTAAATGATAAAAACACCCCCACCACCTGCAATACCAGATTCCGGTCACCACCGCCGGAATTTGGTCGAAAATTGTGTTACGACATAGACCCCGTCGGATCTATGTCGTAATGCATCGATCTGGCCTTTTTCGGCCAGATATGGCCGTCTTTTGCGGCCACGACGGCCAGATCAGCCACGGATCTGGCCAGAAATGCCAGATCTGGCCGTCGAGGCCGCAAAACTCCATCTGTTGCCTTGACGGCCAGATCGACACGTTACGACACAGATCCGATGGGTCTGTGTCGTAACGCAATTTCCCGACCAGTTTTCGGCGGTGGTGGCCGGAATCTGACACTGCGGGTGACATTTAACAAACTTTTTATATATGGGGGTGTTTAGTAAATTCGCAAACCTATGGGGTTTTTTAGAAATTTTTAAACTTATAAAGAACAAAAATATCAAATTTTCAAGCACATTTTAGTCTTTTACTATGAACAAACAGAAATCACTAACCGCACATGATGAAAGGTACCTGTTTGTTGTTTCAAAACTTTTTGGGTACCATCTTGTCATTTCAGCAAACCTTGGGTATCGTTCGCCGGTAAAGTAAATAACTGAATTTTGCTATTCACATACCAAACAAAAACAATCAAATAATCAGTCGTTTGCTATTAAACACGTGTGAAGGTCCCGAAAGCCGCGAGGTGGCAAAGCTATGGGCATGTAACTAACAGCACAGCAGCCAGCATCAAAAGAATTCCATAAAATTGAAGGAAAAACAATTGAAATGGATAACGAGAAGATGAAGAAGAACAAGGGAGTGGCAGTGGCGCCATCAAGCCCTAACAGGAGTAACAGTGCAAGTGGCGAAGACAGCGAGGATAAAGACAAAGTCTTCTCCTTGTCTAACATCAAGTTCAATTATCGAAACGCTTTCTCGAAATACGATTTTGTTAAGGTTGATTTTTTTTTTTTTTTTAATTATTTAGTTCTGATTTCTTTATTATTGATCAAATCATGATTGCTTGATTGATTGTTTTGATCATGTGGCTTACAGGTGAAGGTGTGGCTTGGTGATAATGCTGATCACTACTATGTCTTCTCCAGATTCCTGCTCAGCAGAATGTTAACTGTCACTAAGGTTCTCACTTTATACTTTTCATTTTTTTATTTATTTTAATTTAATTTTACTTATAAAATGATGGATAATTAGTTGATTTCTTTTTTAAATTATAATCATCAACAAGACATGAGATGCAATTTTTTTTTTTTTTAAATTTAAATTTAAATTTTATGATTTCAGATACCAAATCATGTGGCTATTAAAATTGCTCTTGAACTGAAGAAGCTACTTGTAGACAACAGCCTTCTTGATGTGTATGTCATCTCTCTCTCCTGGAAAAGAAAGGCTTGGGTTTCATGGTTTTATGTTGTTATTCGTAATGGTGAATGGTTCTTTTTCTTTCAGCTCTCAATCTGATTTGGAAGCTAATCTATTTAAGGTATGTCAATACTGTGGATAAAATATGGCTTCCAATTTATACTCTCACTTATGGTTCCAACTTAGATTATTTCAGCCCATTAAACATTGACTGTTGGTTGGAAAAATAGAGTGTTGGTCAATGAGCTAATGAATAAGTTAGCTTAGAAGTTTAGGTTCTGAGGCGTTGTTAAATTATATGAAATCTTCTCATAGGACTATATCTACAGCTTATGGAACGCAGATGTTATGGAGAAGACTATATAAATCGTTACAAGATGATGACTAGGTCAGTAAAATTTCTACTTCAATAGTTCTCATGTTTTATTTTTCTGGATTAATAGCTGCTCTTTTCCCCTTTGAATTTAATTGATAATTCATGTTTGTTGTGCTTGCAGTATTGATTAGTCTGTGAAAAGGTTCTTTTTCATTGAGTCGGTGTAAGATTGTTTTACAACAATGCATTCTTATTGTTAAGCTTCCTTGTGATGGTGTCTTGGAAATTTTTTATATGGACATTATGACATTTCTAATTTTTTTGTGGAATTCTTTATGGTCTGAACTACAGTGGCAATTTTTAAATCACCAAAAGAAGGGAGAAAAAAAAATTATGCTCGTAGGATGTGTTTCTTGTAGACTATAGTGGCTTAGACTTTCTGTAAATATGCCATCCATTGGTTGTAACCATAAAATTCTTGGATAGGAATTCTAATATTGTTTTGGATTTGATCATTTGTGGAGGATAGGAATTCTAATATTGTTTTGGATTTGATAATTTGTGGAGCACTAGACTGTATATCTTACCAACTGAAATAGATGAAAGAAAAATATTGAAACAGGAATGTGGAAGGTTCTTCATTTTAGTAATATGATTTTGCTTGTCCCTGTTAGATTTCACCATCAAAGAGTGCCATTGGTAATTCTTGTTTGTGGAACTGCCTGTGTTGGAAAGTCTACTATAGCAACCCAACTGGCACAAAGGCTAAATTTGCCAAATGTCTTACAGGTTTAGTCTTATTTATGTCTATGAGGCTGTTCTACTTCGTTCATTCTGTCATTCACTTTTTTGTATTAACTATTTTTGGATGCATACTGATGCTTCTGACATGTGTTTCTAATTGTTGCAGACGGATATGGTATATGAATTGCTACGCACAGCAACAGAGTATGTCATGGGCATACTTCTTGATTTCCTGTTTCATATCTTGCACATTTTATTTCCAGTATTATCATTTGTTGCTTAGAGAAAACTAGATCTTTAAACATCAAATCTGGTTAAGTTATTAGTCAGGAAATCCCTTGGTACAATTGGCAAGTATGTTGGTTAAGCACCTGTAACCATTTTTCCGCCCACAGTAAAAAGTGGAAATTTTGTGGAAATTTGTAAGAAAATATCTGGTTAAGTATATTCCCTTCCTTCTACAAATAGCATCTTAAGCTAAAAAATTTATTGTATAACTTTTATTGCTGATATCATTGAGAAGAAGTTCATGCTTTCGGTAATTGTAATTCAGTTTATTAGAATAAATCTGTGGCCTGTGTACAGATAGCATCTTATTTTTAATAGGGTTTTGTATGGTCAACATTTGTAATCATTGTGGGGTTTCAGTGGGTCACAACAGAATGCTTATTTGCTTATTTTGTCTGTTTCAGTGCTCCATTGACATCGGCTCCTGTATGGGCCCGAAATTTCAGCTCCTCTGAGGAGTTAATAACTGAATTTTGTAGAGAATGCAGAATTGTTCGCAAAGGTGGTATCTAAATTTCCAATTTCCTTCTTTTCCCTGAACTACCATTTTGTAACCTGGATGATGAACTAATATGGGGCATGTCATTGATTTTCTACCTTCTTAGTATTAACCTTAGTCAATTTGTTTTTGTAGGTTTGGCTGGTGATTTGAAGAAAGCAATGAAAGATGGAAAGCCAATTATAATTGAGGTATCTTGAGCCTTTATGATCATGTGGGTTGTAAACTACATTACTCCAGCTGATAATAATCCTCTTTTTTCATTTATTCTACCTGATGCTGCTGGAAATTCTTTTCTGTAAAAGGAAAATTAATTATGCTTGTTTGTTATTGTTATTTTTTTTTTATTTTTTTTTATGCTTGCCTATATTTCCTTGCAACTCATACATTTTTTATTACAAAATCTTTTACTAGCCAAATGATTTATTACTTTGCTTAGATATTTTATTGAAATTAACTCCTAATTATATTATTTTATGATGTGTTATAAAATTTCTGGAAGTATAGACTTATAAATTGGATGTATGTGTGGTGTTCGACATAAATGGGAAATGCATAGGAAAATTTAAATCTGCATAAAAAATTTAGGTAAGACTGTAGTAAACTATGCGATTTCTTCTTGTCAAAAACTAGCTAAAGTAGTTTAGAAATGATTTCATAATTGTGATTCTTCTGCATGGAAAGAGCTGGAGTAATGCTTCTCTCTTATTATGATCCATTTTGGGTCAAAGCAAAAGCATTTTTTTTTTAGCGCATCGTTTTTTGCTGAGGTTTGATGTTATTAAGATCTGGACCTTTGTGGAGTCTGATTTAGTTCTGTTCTGTTGATCTGGTATTTTTTTTTTTTCTACCAATTTTTCATAAAAATTATGAGAAGATGACTTAGCCACAAATTGAGGCTGAAGAAGTAAATTGATATTATACCCTGCAAATCACTTAGATGAACAAAATTAATGTTTCCTTTGAAACTATAAATTGTGTCTTCATATCTGTGTTTCCCGGTGGAAGTGAAACAGAAATTTATTTTCAACATAGAAGTTGTATTCTAAGTTGTTTTTTAGCTTTTAAGAATGAGATTAACATTAGAATACAAAATCTTGTGTGCTTTTAAAGTTTTCATTTTAGTTTTTCTTCTTTATGTAATTTCTTATGATAATGGCAGGGTATACATTTGGATCCCAGCATTTATTTAATGGAGGAAGAGAACAAAGCACCAGTTACCTCAACAGAAAAGGAAAACTCTGTATCTGTGGCAGCTGATGATAATCCAGTGAAACAAGTTGAAAATAGTTCTGCAAGTGTTTGTGGAAGTAGCAATACCACTCTAGCGGATGTGAGCTCAGGAGAAAAGGTATCTACTGAACAGGTGAACAAGATCGCAGATTCTCTAGAATCTGTTGCCCTGGCTGGAAGTGCTTCTGATCCTCCCAAAAAAGAAGGAAGTGTTTGTGAGAATAGAGGTTAACTCTGACCAAGAATTTGCGGACTTGTTTTCTATTTTGTTTTAGCTCCATTCCTCAAAAGAATGTCATGCTGTTATCTATGGCTGTGCATTTATCAGTTTTACGTAACAAGTGAAGAGTGCTGTTTGAAATTGGTAATGCAGGTGAAACAATAAAAGATCCTGAGGTGGATAGAAAAACATCTGTTAAGAAAGAAAAATCCGGTGCTGATCCAATAATTGTGCCTATAGTTCTGAAGATGGCTGATTTTGATCATAAGGTGTGGTCACTTTCTTTTCACTTTTAGAGCTTGCTTTATCTATACTTAACACATAATACAGAACAGTAAATTATGGGAAATAAATTACCTTTCTTGGCTTCAAGTTTCTCTTCAACAAGTAATGATGGTATTCTGTCAAGAAAAAGGCTATTCAGTGAAACAAGGTTTTATTGTTACTGGTTATATATTTCTATAATATGACTGGTCTATTTAGTGTTAATTAATTTATTCATATAAAATGATTAATGGCTTCAGTTATGAATCAAGTGTCTAGTGGGCTAAGCAATGAGCTAAAACAGGGAGACTGATGGTAAAGAATTACCATGTCAAAAATGTATCGATTTGAAAACTTCTATCAATCTTGTGTATGAATCCCCCATCAAGTATTTCAGTTCTATGATTTTTATGAAAGAAACTTTTAACTTCTCATCTTTTCATTGATGGAAACCTGAACCAGCTCAAGTGGTTTTATGTTCTCTACACTTATAAATTGTTTCATTCACGATAAGGTGGGAAATTATGTTCTCACAATATTATTTCCTAAACAGTTTGCTTAGAAATAATAAATACTTCGAAATAATTTCATGAACTATTGGAGCTTATCAACCATAGATGTCATGAAGGTAATACTTGTGAGTTTGAATTTTCTTGACGAATACTAGCACATATGCAGCTGTGTTGAAGTAGCTTCCTTCGAGAAGATATTGTTTTTATTACTTCATTATGTGTTTCATTTCTCAACCTAACAGTGTATCTTAGAAGTATTCTCTGGTCCTATGTAGGCTTTGCTAGAGGAGTGGATCTCGACTCGTACATTTAATGATAAGTCTTTGGTTCAGGTATCAGCAACTGCTAATTTCTTTCTCTTATGTCATCCTGTTCTTTTACTTTAATATGTCTCACTGGTTAACATGGTTAAGTATTGAGAGCATAATTCAATAAATAGTTAAATTATTAAACAAATTTTCTTTGCCATTGAGTAGGGAAAAACATGGTTGAAGTAAATGCTTTATGACACCAACAGTTTGTTGTAAGGATTGAGACAAAAGGAATTGTGCATTTTAGAAAATGGTTGAGTAGGGGGAAGGCAACGTGTAGTAAAATGAAGAAACATAAATTGGAATAGTTGATTACTATAACAGTTGTGTATTGTCACACTGGAATTATTATTAATTTGTCAGCAAATTAATCTTCTAGTAACATATTACATTATTGTTTAGGAAACATCGGTAAAACTAGCTCCCTTTGTTGTTCATGAGAGAGTGGATCCTAGAAACTAGAATGGAAAAAGATTTAAAATGTTGTGCTTGATATTTCTGAAGATACTTGTGGCTGAGCCCTTGCCTTCTCATGTTTCATAGAAGTTTCAAAATGTAACATACTAAAATCACAATCACAACAATAAGTTGCCTTAGTGGTTTTTGAACATTTATTCCTCTGTTTTCCTTTGAAACAAATATGGTCTTCAACTAATAAGTTAAGAATACACGGCTGAATTAAGGTGATACTCTAGGGATAAATGGTGAATACCAAACATTTGCATGTTTGCACCAGTTATGCCAGTTGTCTCTGGTAAAAACTGAGACATGTTGATGATTTGAATGAGTCGATGTTATTTCCTTCTGGCACAAATGTCTTGGTTATGTGTTTATGTAACTAAACATTAGAGTGATTTATTGTGTTACCCTACCTCAATTTATTTAATCAATAATAAGCCTAATTTCTTGCCGATATCTTTTTACAGGATAAACATGGGCTAATAAGAAATTTAGCAACCATTCAGGATTATCTCTGCTCCTTCAAGTCACAGGTATGCTTGTCCATGTCTATTAAGCAGCTTCTCTGTAACAGGTTTTGGTTGATTGAAAATAAGTGAGAAAAGCCATAGAGATTTTTTTGTCATATTCTCTATCCTATCAGAAAAATAAATAATCAGAATAAAAATGTTTTCATATTTTCCAAAGATTTATATTAATATTTCGAGAGGTATTATTGATATGGAAAGTAGTCTGTGCTGAACACTTATATTAAACATGTGTTCTTGAAGAGTTTTGCTCTATAAATTACTAAAGCATTTTTTGTTCAGAATTTTGTTCCTGCAGAAAACTGCATCTTGAAAGAGTAGCTGAATTTCTAATTTTGGTTTTTTATGTCTTGGCCCATTGGATGTCTTTGTGTATGAAGCCACATAAATGACACGTGAAAGGAGATCTCATTTACTTGTTGATTATTGTAAGAGGATAACGGACCTTTCAAAATTAATGCAGGAGTAAATAGCAAAAGATAACTAGGATACTCAAGTTGGATCTCAAAAAACTGACTCTCAATTTCAGGTTTCAGAGACCTCAGGAAGACTAATTACAAAATTTCATTAATGCCTATTTGTAAATCATTCTTAATGATATTGATTTTTTTTTTTTTTTTTTAATGCTAAGCCTATAGAAACATTGCAATTATAGGCTTGGATTACTAATATTGACTCGTAAAGTTAGCTCCTCTGGTTCAATTGACCTGATATTTTGGTCCTAATTTCATGGTGTTTAGAAATATAAGGGAATAATTGTAGTCCTCTAGTCTTGGAGGAAACAGAAATCTTATGGAATATATAAAGAAACCTTCATTTTGGAGTCATATAGCATCCGCCTGTATCAATTAAATTGCTGATTTGTTCCATTATTGGTTGGGAAATGCCCACAGTTAGGACGTTATACTTCTACCTTTTATAATTTTTAGAGTATGTATAATTATTGCGAACATAGTGATACCTTCCCAAATGTCTGTAGCTGGCTTAGTTTGTTGGAATTATAAAGTTACAACATTTCTATTTTCTGTTTGTTCATCTTAATTCTTACTTTTCTTGGAACAGGGTCTGACAGTAGTCAATATATCAGCAACAACATTTCCACAAACCTTGGATTGGCTGCATGGATATCTTCTTCAGGTTTACCTGTTTTCTTTTATAGTAAATATTCTGATTGCTTCCTTTTCCTGCAGCTTGTAAAAAGATGGGCAACTGATTTTGGCAATTTTTCTCGTTTATACTAAGAAAGCATGCTGCCATGGTATTCTTAATTTTTGATAAGAGACTATGAAAGAGGCAGTAATAATAAGAGCTATACAAAAGTGCCCAAAAATGTTAATCATCAAAAAATGACCAAAAGACCAGCCATAAGCTCCCAACAATCAAAATTAAACATGGCCCAAAATTCCTCGCACTTCATATAAATGAAGTGGAAAGAAAAATTTGAAGTTCTTTTGTCACCAATGTCCATGGGGAAGCTAAAATTCGAACACTATCCCACAATGAATGGATGTCTTCCTATTCGTTGGCTTAAAAAATTCCTCTATTTTTCTCTATCCAAATTACCTAAAAAGTTGCCAAAACATCACATTTCTTCAGAACTTTAGCTTTATTGTCTATGCTAAAAGCGTCTAAGAAGTGCAATGGTTTAATTGCGGTGTTGTAAACTTGTGATAGCTGAACTTGGATGTCAAAATTCATGTTACAAAAAAGCGTCTCTGGAATTTTATATTTATGTTATTGCTTGCTAGATAGGAATTCTGATTACTTGTTTGATATATTTTGGAATTTCACCTTTTATTAAAGGAGGGACTTCTAGATAAAAAATTTCCAATCGAGTTGCATTCATCTCTTCTCTCTGCAGTATTTGATTCCTGTCCTTCTTTTCCTGCTAAGATGTTGGTCATAGTAATTAGTTGCTTTTCTCACACCTTAGAATATTTTCCTTTAGTATTTTTAAAATGTTACTGTGGCATATGATAAATTGATTTTTCTTTGTTTCTCAATCAACTTATACTGATGTTCTTAATCTCTCATTGGTAATTGTTTTCATTATGCAGTGTATAGAGCAAGGCATTTCATCAGTGTCCAATGCAAACGGTAAACAGCCGGCAGAAAATTAGAAACATGCAGATCTTAGCTTGAGCTGTGACAGGTATGAAGACAGTTGATATTAGAATAGAAATTAAAATAAATAAATAAAAGAAGAAGATGCAGTGTTTTCTGAACGTACAGGTTGATAATAGAACTGTGATTATAAGATAATCTAATCCCTGAACCTCTCTGAATTTTAATGGATTGGCATGAGGGGTCACTTGAAACTAACCGTGGTCAACCTTTCGCTTAAATGACCTGTCTTTTCCTCTTTCCTTGTGTAAGTTTCCCTTCTGATATTTCTTACAGGCCTTGAAGGAGGAATGAACTTGTATGTGTGGTAAAGCAGCTGAATTTCAAAGGATTCGAGTGTCAGAAAGCAAACGGAAAACAAGTTCTTGAAGGACCTTGCTGCAGCCACGTACATAAGGCTTCATGCAGTTCTATCTGAACACAAATCAATTCCAAGCTTCTTGCAAGGAGAACTTTCTTTCAGTTCCCTATAATTCATCTGCCCCAACCAAATTGTGGACTTTGGAGGAAGAAGGTGACCCTTAAAAATGAGTTGATAAATTATTTTTCTCTTTATGACACTTTAATCTCCTAATGAATCCACAGATAATGAACACAGAGAGATAATATATGATGAGCAGATACACTTCATTTATTCTTCTTATTTATATGTAGAGCATGTGGCATGTGATTGCCATGTGTAAACAAGATTTATACAGCAATGAATAATCACAATTACAATATGAGAGATTGAGAGTATATATATGATTTTTCTGTCTTTTGTACATCTAGATTTTTGGTCTTAAAAAGAGTTACTGAGCCAAATTTTCACTCAATGATATCATTTTTGAATCAATTTATATTTCTAGGTCTAGGTTTAATGCTCATTATCCTTTAAGTTTTATTAAGTTAGGTTCATCCCAGGTATGAGTAGAGACTTGAAAGATTTTTCTGGTCTTAGTTTTTCTTTTGTACATCTAGATTTTCGGTCTTAAAAAGAGTACTGAGGAGCTAATTTTTAACTCAATGATATCATTTTGCATCAATTTGTGTCCTAGGCCTAGGTCCAATCCACATTTTCTTAAGTTAAGGTTCATTCTTGGTGTGAACACAAACTTGGAAGATTTTGGCCTTAAAAAGGGTACTACTGAGCCAATTTTTAACTCTCAATGATATCATTTTGGATCAATTTGTGTCCTAGGCCTAGATTCAATCTGTTAGGATCCCATATTGAAAGAGAAAAGAGTGGGCATGTAGGTTATATAGGCTTGGACACCCTCCCTTGGCAAGCCGATTTTCTAAGAAAAGTTTTACCCAAGCCCATGAAAGACCCATGGCCCAGCCCAAATTGTTGAGTTATTGGAGTGGGTTCCTATCAATTGATATGAGAGCATGATCCTGTACCTATGTGGCAACGCACGCGTGGCAGGTTGACCTTGGGTTCGGGCTGTTACCTCGAGAAAGGGCATGGAGGCCCGAGGGAAAGGGGATCTGTGTAGTCACCCAAGGGGTAAAGAGGCTGATGGGGGTAAAGAGGTCGACGTGGACGTCGGTTGCGGAAGCGTGGTGGAATGTTAGGATCCCGCATTGAAAGGGAAAAGGGTAGACATGTGGGTTAAAGGTTTGGGCACCCTCCCTTGGCAAGCCAGTTTTCCAAAGGAAGTTTTACCCAAACCCATAAAAGACTCATAGCCCAACCCAAATTGTTGAGTTATTGGAGTGGGTTTCTATCAATTGGTATCAAAGCATGATCCTACGTCTATATGGCAGCGCACGCGTGGCAGCCTGACCTTGGGCCCTGGCTGCTACCCCGAGAAAGGGCATGGAGGCCTGAGGGAAAGGGGATCCGCGTAGTCACCCAAGGGATAAAGAGGCCGACGGGGGTAAAGAGGTCGACGTGGACGTCGGTTGCGGAAGCGTGATAGAATGTTAGGATCCCACGTTGAAAGGGAAAATGGTGGGCATGTGGGTTATAAAGGCTTGGGCACCCTCTCTTGGCAAGCCGGTTTTTCAAGGAGAGTTTTACCCAAACCCATAAAAGACCCATGGCTCAACCCAAATTATTAAGTTATTGGAGTGGGTTCATATCACAATCCATAGTTTTTTAAGTTTATTAAGTTAGATTCATTCCTCGTGTGAATAAAGGCTTGGAAGATTTTTCTGGTCTTAGTTTTTCTTTTGTACATTTAGATTTTTGGTCTTAAAAAGGTTACTACGAAGCCAAATTTCAACTCGATCATATTATCAATAATATCTTTTTGAATCAATTTGTGTACCTAGGCCTAAGTTCAATGCACAATTTTTGAAGTTTTATTAAGTTGGGTTCATTCCTGGTGTGAATAGAGACTCGGAGGATTTTTCAAGTCTCAGATTTTCTTTTGTACATCTAAATTTTTGGTCTTAAAAAGGGTACGGCAGAGCCAATTTTTAACTCATAGCTTTTTAAGTTTTATTAGGTTGAGTTCATTCTTGGTGTGAACAAAGACTTGAGAGAATTTTCTAGTCTCAGGTCTTTCATGCATATCTAGACTTTTTGCTTGAAAAGGGCACAGATACCATCAATGATTTCATTTTGGATCATTTGTGTAGGCCTAGGTTCAATGCATAGTTTTTTAAGTTTTATTAAGTTAGGTTCATTCTTGGTGTGAACATAGGCTCAAGAGATTCTTCTTGGGAGCCTAGGTCATTTGAAACTGAGACTGTACATTCTAACTACATATTCCAACATTCGTCCTACCACTTGAGCCACCCAAGGTCAGGTCACAGTTTTTTTAGTTTATTAAGTTGGGTTCCTTCTTGCTGTAAACACTCAGGACATTTTTCTGGTCTCAGTTTCATGGGAAATTGTGGCTTTCTACATGTTGAAGAGAAAAAATCTACTATAAGTTCAATATCCATCGTTTAAGAAATCGAAAACCAGATATTTAGTGGTAATGTAATGTACAGTAGTAAATAACAAAAAGTATTTATTTGTACATTTATATTTTTTAAGTGAAGTTTGGCTGGGTCTACTGCAACTTCACCATTGTAGTAGTATTGTGGACATTACAAGGTTTAACAAAAAAAAGTAGTGAATTTTTGGCATTAATACATTGATAATTATAGCAAGATTATCAGATTTCATAATCCCATAAATCTTCAAGGGTCCTGTATGGGCTAGTTGTTTGGTTGATAAGAAAATCTCCTCTCATAATCTTCCACTCTTCCAAATTGTCAATCTGAATGAGATCTTCATCGTCCAATTTAAGATTGAAAGAAGCCATGTTCTCCCTTATTCTCTCTTGATTGAAGCTCTTCACAATCACACTGGCTCCCTTCGACAATCCCCATTTTAGAGCAACCTGAGCCGGAGTAGCCTTGTGTTTCAGAGCAATGGCTTGGATGATTGGATGTTCAACCACAGCCGTTGATCCCCATGAATTTCCTGGCCCACCCAGTGGTGAATAAGCACTGACGTGGATTTTGTGCTCTCCACATACCTCACGAAGCTTGCTTTGTCTCCACATAGGATGCATTTCCACCTGTATAATTAAAAAAAAAGGGAAATTAAATTATTTATTTATTTTATATATTTAAATATTAAATAAATAAATAAATTATTCGATTTTTGACTATCAACTTATTAGTCGTGCAACATAAACTGTTTTAGATACATTGTTCACTGAATCAGAATTTAATTTTAGACGTGTCATCAATAAATAAAGTTGAACTTTTTTTCATTTTCAAATAATTAATTTGTTCAGAAATTAAAATATAGAGTTTCAAAGCACAACAACAGTTTTTTTTTTTTAAATAGTTTCAGTATTAATTATACCTAATTAATAATAATCGGATAATTAAAAATACAAAGGCAAAGCAAAACTTGAAAAGATGATTAAATAACCCTTCATCGATATTTGATATTTATTTACTTTTTTGTGACCGAGGGTGTTCGGACCAGTTTACATGTACCTCGATTAATCTTTCGGGATCTAAAATTGACAAACAGGTAAATATAAATCCTCTCAGTGGTCATTTCTATTAACAACTCAAGTGAATTGAATTCATAATCTCTTAAATAATATACTCAAAAATCCTAATTGACCCGTTGACCATCTAGTGATTGGTTGATATTTAATTTTTGCCTTCCCAATTCAAACTTTTTATTTTTTATTTTTTATATTATGTTATGCATGTGGGAACCACGAAGTATTAAAGAGTAAAAATATAATAATATATTGTTCTTAATACCTGATTAACGGCTGGAGGGACAGAAGCAAAATCTAACAGCCGTTGGATCTTCTTGCTAGAGAAATTGCTGACACCAATGGTTCTACACAATCCCAATTCTAAACATCTCTCCATGGCTACCCATGTGGCTTCAATATCCAACTTCTCAAAGTCTTCTTCATTGGGGACTGGATATACTGCCCATGGCTTTAATTTTACAGGCCAATGCACCAAATACATGTCTATATATTCCATCCCTAAGTTCCTGCACATTAATATAATTCCTCATATTAATTCAAATATGGATAAAGTTATGCATGCACAATCATCTATATGATATGTTGATAGTTCCAAAAGATTAGCTGAGCTTTCGAGATCTTCAAGGGCCTTAGATTCTGTAAAGATTTTTACAAGATCTTGAAGGAATAAAATAAAAAAGCTTTAAACCCACTTGCAAACACTGACCCAACTGCAGTTTTTAAGTAATGATACGAGTCATAAACATAAGATTTGGGTAAATCTTGATGATGGATTTTGTTTAATTTTAGGGTTAATTAATATTAATATTATTATTATTATATTTTGATGATATTGATGCTTACTTTAGAGTTTGTTTGAGTGCTGAAACAGGATCATGGTGATCACTTCCCCAGAGTTTAGATGTCACAAAAACATCCTCTCTCTTCACACACCCATCGAGAATCGCTTCGTTTAAAGCATTTCCAAGTGCCGGTTCAGAACCGTATATCTTTGCTGTATCAAAATGGCGGTAACCCATCTGCATATATAAACCATATTATTAATTTTTTCATGCAAAAATCATTTCAGCAGTACTCATATTATTTTCACGTAAAAATTTAAGCAAAAACAAAAAAACCCATCAAATGGGTTGTTCAGTCATGAATTAAGATTATCATTATGTGAAGATGCCTCTGTATAAGTTGGTTTTGAAGTAAAATCTAATTGAATATGAAGTTTATCACTCCATGAAAAAGGGATATGTGAATCTTGATACACAATCTATATATTTCACTGTAATAGTTCATATAAGAACCAGAAACAAAAAAAGGTACTACTATAACATTAACATCAATGCATTTCCAAGAAAGCAGAAGACTTAACTGAAAAAACTGGATTATATAAATGGATTAACAGCAAAAAGAAGAAGAAGAAGAAGAAGAAGAAGAAGAAAAATTATGTACCTTGAGAGCCAAATGAACAGCATGCTCAGTGGTTGCCTTATCATTGGCAAAGGAATAAGTTCCAAAGCCAAGAACGGGCAGTGTAATGCCGGAATTCAAACGTACTTGATCGCTCCTCATGGTGATGATGAATTTAATTTTGGTTATCTTTTCTCTCCTCTGTGGTTTTGTGTCTCTGCACAGCTATACAAATTTGGCCTTCAGAACTTGGATATATATACAAAACAAAGTCAACATTATTTAATTTGTTTATTAAGACACTTCAGCCCTTGAATATAAATATATATGTAAACAAATCCAAATATAAAATTGTTATTTGGGAGTTACTGAAACATGTGGGGGGATCTTTAATTATTGAGGAATAAAAATCAAAGCTAAGGGATCTTCCATGTCTCTTGGGATCTCATGAGATGGCTCTATCCATCGTCTAAAGCCAACTCTATTTTTTTTTTTTTAAAGGAAGAGGTTTGGACCAGTTTGCTCGCACCTCAATTAATCTATCAGAACTTTGAAGTAAATAACCAGATAAACCCTGTTAGTGGCCACCCTTAATCCCTCGAGGTCCTAAAATGAACGACCGAGTGACCACCCTTATTAGTGTTTGGGAGGACTCGAACTCAGAAACTCATGTTAGAGTCCTTTGCTCTTTTATCATCATATCACCCAACCATGGTTTTTTATCAAATGAAATCATGGATCATTAAGTCAACTCTATTTTAATGTCTTCTTTACGGAAAAAAAAAAAAAAAGGAATTTTGAGAATTTGTTAGAGATTTAATTTTCTTGTACTAAATAAAAAAATTTCTCAAAAATCACTCCTAATAAGAAGGATTTTCTATAGAAAAAAAAAATGATAAATGCTTCTATATATTTGAAAGAAAAATATTTAATGGTCGAAACACTAATTGGCTTTTCAAAATAATTATTTAATGTGATTCCAACTGTTGCTACCTTCCTATTTCTTGTAAAGGGCGGCCGTTCGGTTTGAGGTTGAAGGGATTGAATTTTAAATGTATTTATAGTTGAACGGTTTTATTTAATTATGTCAACTTATACCTTAATATAAATACCCATTTATTATTGTTTTACTTTGCCGACTTATGTTGACTTTTATTTGTTTTGTTCATTAATGAAATTGTCAAAATGGACACCCATTTCCTTGTCACGAACTTAGTTGCTCTTCATGCTCTTGTCATTGTCAACTTATTAGCTAATAAAAAGTTAGAAACAAATGGGAAGATACAAATAACCCAACAATTATTTAACATCTCAAATTACTTTTATACGTTTTATATTTGATGATCGTCATCTACATGTTTTTAGACATGATTATAACATGTTTGATTTTAAATTTATATATGTTACGCCTAAAAAAATCAGGGTTGACGTAAACTTACGTCAGCAAGCCCTAATCAGAGTTCAGAAAAACTTTGCGTCGTCCAGATGCTACCACGTCGACCCAAGACGGAAAGAATATGGTTGTCATCAACTTATCAGATTTAGGTTTTGTCTATGAGTGACTAAGGACCACACACTTGTCCCAGCCTCGGATAATTTGAAGATATTTGCTAAATTATCAGCCAATGGGAGGCAAGGAAGGACTTGCAAGACACTTACTAACTTACAGATTTGTGATTATTACCTTGAATTCCTTTGCTATAAATAGAGGACTCTCCCTTTCATTTTAGGGATTATGATCCTGAACTCTTATTCCAATTGTAATCTTGATTTTTAGAGCAAAAATAACCTACAAGAAAAAGACCGACTCGGTATTCTCTCTGAATACTCAATTATTGTACCTCTGCTTGTTGTTCGCTATACGTGACCTCTTGTAATCTCTCATATATAAAAGAAACAGTGGACATAGAATTCGCTTTAAGCATCCAAGCCACTTTAAAAATTATCTCTCTCATTTATTATTCAATCTTTGCATTCGATTATATTGATTAGCTCTCTCACAATCATTCATGTGTAATTTCTAAGACCTACGTAGCACTTTATACATGCAGGTCGTTAGTGTCAAAATCACACTTTAATAATATATATGATATCTAGATAGCACTACACATACAAAATTAGGGTCATAGCTTTACATCTCAACTTAATGAAGATTGAAATCATAAGGAATGATTGTTTTAATAAATATGGTATTGATACATTACTACTCATACGAATCAAAAGTTGGAATCCTTCATTTTTATGATAATAGATATTATTCTTATCAATATTTATCCAGATTTGCATATTGCAAATGGTGTATTATTAATTACCTCTAGGTGGTCAAGTGGTTCGATTGGTACTCTTAGGTGTATTATTCAAAAAGTCTTGAGTTCGAGACACTCATTGATTGCTCCTAGGGGTAACTGTTGTGATGTGGCACTTGATATTCACACACGGGGAAGTCAACTTTTACCTTGGGTGGTCAATGTTAATTTCTATTGACTTAAGGGGCATTTCAGTCTGTCTGGTATCTTCAATAAACCTAATCTAATTTAGGTTTTGCGCAACTTATTCTCGATCATTCTCTCTTGGTTAACAGAGAGAGAAAACGGTTGGAATATGCTGTGCTGGAAATCTGAAGAACGTCGATGGAATCAAACGGTGATGGTAGGTCTTAGCTGTCCTATCTGTTTCCCTTTTTTTTGCTGTATAAATGGCCTCTAATTTCTGCCTATTTGAATGATGTATGAGTGGTGAGAGCATCTGGGTGTACGGGTGTAAATCAGAGAGGTTTTTATCGGGTTGTACCTTGTGTAAAGGGGGTGAGCCTAATCTCTGTAAAGTTTCTCATTTTTCTTATAGTGGATTCTATTTCTTTTGCCCTGAAGAGTGGATATAAGTAATCTTTTAGATTACCGAACCACTATATATTTGGTGTTCTTTATTTATTTTCTTGCTTTTTCATTATATTTGATTATTGCTGTAAACTTATGGCTTTGGCTTGGTTTCGAATACTGCATTTTGTGTTCTGTTTTTGTTTTTCATGTTACAACAGTAACCATTGGAACTCTTATCCGATCGGTAATTCTAGAATCCCGAAGAATTAGTTGAGGTGCGTGTAAACTGGTCTGAACAACCCTAGTTATAAAAAAAAAAAAAAAAAAAAGTATTATCTTATGTGACATTAACATATAATATGATAGTAATATATCATAAAACAACATTTTGAATGTAAAATTTGGAATATATCTTGGAATCAATTTTTTGAACAACTAATAATATTTTGATTTTATAAGCAAACAAAATCTTAGGAAGTTTGAAGTTTTACTTTATAAAATTAAAAACTGTATCTAAATCAATCTTCTTGTTGTTTAAGTATGAACTGTTAAATCAAATTACTTTAAAAGATTTTAGATTGAATCTAACGTATGTAATTTCAAAGCGAATCCAAGCAAAGAGATTTCATTTGGATTATGAAAATCAAAGGTATAATGTAATAATCAAAGTACACATTCTAATTTTGTTAGTCCCAAAGGAATCGAATCCCAGTAGATAATAATAAAAATAAAAAACAAAGAAAAGAAAAAACATGGGTGGATTTGGGAAACAAACGCCAGAATAGATGTCTTGTCAAATAGTGCACCGCCACAGTAGATGATGTCGAGATCTGAAAAATGAAATCAAAAGCCATGTGAAGCCTTTGATTATTGCATGTTCTTATAATCTTGACACTTTTCCGTATAATTACTTGTGTACGTATACTACACCCTTCTTCTCTCATTCCCTTTAAAATATTACAAAGAAAGTCAACTAGTTTAATTGATTCAAGAGCAACTGCAAAGACTGGTTTAGACTTGGGGGTGGTTCCAATAGATGGGGGTTTTGATTATTGCATGTTCTTATAATCTTGACACTTTTCCGTATAATTACTTGTGTACGTATACTACACCCTTCTTCTCTCATTCCCTTTAAAATATTACAAAGAAAGTCAACTGGTTTAATTGATTCAAGAGCAACTGCAAAGACTGGTTTAGACTTGGGGGTGGTTCCAATAGATGGGGGTTGTGTTGTTTACACTTCACTCTATGTTGGTTTAGTATTACGGATTTTCAGGGCTGAAAGATTAGGGGTCGGTGATCTTAAAAATCAAAATTTGATTTGTAAAAACTGAATATGAGTGAGCTGGGGGAATTATATGTTGTGTGGGAAAAACCAAATCCGAATCTAATTGATCAAGGAAGAGATTTTTATACGGAATCATACTTGAAAGGACAGATAGTGGATTGATTTGATTCTCATTCTACACGTTTGGTTTCGACACAGCCCGACAGCTTGCTATAACCCTTCTTATGAAATCAATTATAAAAATATTTTTGTTTCTTTTATAAAGATTTTAAGATGGTTGTTTAATTTCATATGGTGATGTATTTTTTTGTTTATAGAGAACAACCGCCAGTGGTCCTCTTCCTCAAATTAAAGTAATTTCTGATTTAAAGTTTTAAACCTCTTTTCATTTCTAGTTTTCTTTTCTACTTAATTTTATTGTAAATGGCTGGTTATTCATCAATTCTAACTGGATATTGAAGACACTCCATTTTGTTTCAATTCCAGAACCTATTTAATTCACTCCTTCCGATTCATTTTAAAGGCATTATATTTGTGAGCGCATCCATTATCATACCCAGAGAAGCAACAAAACCCAGCTCAGTTTATACTTTATAGCCCCATATTATACTGTGTTCCGTTGCCATTTTAACCATTTCTGCTGAGATTTATTATTGAGAAGAGAATCCCTTGGGAAATTTTAACCATGCCCATTGTCCACAGAGATGTGGTTGGTTCAAGTTAATAGCTGTTATATGTGAACCATGAACATCGTCCAGTGCCCAAATTTCTTTAGGCCGAAGAATATAATAATCTGGAAAGAAAAAAATATTACAAATGTAACACTTTATACAAAGTGGATGTGAGGTTTTGACGGAATATAATGTGGTGCCACAAAAGATTAAAAAGAAATCAATATATACACTACAATTGATTAACAGTCTTAACCCGGATTTCCAAAACCTTAGTGCATGTTGTCAGCGATCACACCAGACACAATAGACTCATCTACAGGCTTAGGTCCACCGCATGACCTTGAAACTGATTCAAACAGTTTCTCAATCTCTGGCGCACACCTTGTGAAGCCACGGTTCCAAAAGTTGTATCTAGGATTCTGGAAAAAAAAAAAAAGACAATATTGAATTTAGTTTCGAAAACACTACCAACCCAACCATCCATACTGCATTCATTGTCAAATTACCTTGATGAGTTCGATAAAGGTTGTCAGAAGACCCCAAGGGTGAGGTCTGTTAACAATAAGGCGTTCAAACAACACTCGCGTTATCTGCTCCTGGATGATTTCCTGCATGCAACATGGTGTAAATAAATGAATAATTGAGTTCAGCACAAGCAGAAAGCAGTGCACGTTTCAATTACACATGCTATCAAAGTAATGCTATAAAATTCTGCCAATTACACTGAAAGCCTGGAATCTGAAACATTTAGATGCATAATTCATAAGTTTGATCAAAAGAAGAATTCAGGAGAGTATTAAGTCTGTTCCCATCACAAATTGCTACAGCACACTGATGACAAGTCATCATAACATGCAACGTCATCACACTGCATAATGCATGCCATGATCAAGAAGAATGTGTACATTTATTTTTGTTGTAGTAACAATACTTACATCACCTAAATGCCATGTGATAAGTTTATTTCATCGTATTATCACCAAAAAACTAAAGCCAAAAAGAAAATATGCTTTTTAATGACATTATAAGACAGTCAAACATAGTGAGGAGAACAAAAGTAAAGAGAAAAACATTTCTCACCTGACTTGCTTCATTAAACAAGTAGAGAAGAACAAAGGAAAAGAGATGTGTGTGGTTGTTAGGGTAGCGCAGCTGATTTGCAATTGCATTGAGGAAAAGGTAGCGCCCTTCTGTATCCAGGTCCACAATCAAAGTTTGAAAAATATCTAAGGCAGGACCCATCAGGTATAACTCCATTGGACCATTGTGAGTAATTGGCTGGGAAAGGGGAGGCGGGGTCTTTGTCTGCAGTTGCTCGATAGTCTGCAAAAAATGCCCACCAATTAGGCTTTAAATGAGAAGTAAATGAAGGATATGGTTCTAGATGACTTCCAGGAATCCTCCTCCTGAGTTGCTACTAGAGCTAAAGTAAAGCATTAATAATGAGTCTATTTCACTGAGTTTTCCCTTAACACAAAGGAGGATTACTTCCTTAGTTCTTTGCCAGTCTACAGAACTAGATACGGGAATTCATGAGTCTGCCAATCCTAATAGTTTGAGTCTGATCCATTTATTTGTGCACAGCTGTAATGCAATATTAAAGATGCCCCCTTCCATATACAAGTCATCAAAATCGAAGACAAGTCATTGAATAAAATTGAAAGATCATAAATCATGACGTGAAGCAAGGACATCACCTGCATTCCCACATACAGAACAAGTGAGTTTATCAAGGGTACATTGTACCGGGTACCAGCTTGAGCTGCCTCATTTTGTGATAGCAGTAATCCTTGCTTCAATTCTGATAAGAATGGCGATCCCTGATGTCTTGTCTGAAAATCAATCCAAAGATCTATTATGCTATGAAAGGAAAAGGAAGGAGGACCAAAACCTAAGAAGATGTGAGAAATCCAAGAGCAAAAGACATAATAAGATACATTTAACCAGTACGAAGAAGTAATAAAGCTGAGAAAGCAATGGAGAAAAAGAGAGTGAGGGAGCATCTGAGACTCCTGCCGCTATGGAACTCTGTAAAAAGTTTGATATTGAAGTCAGCTAATTCAGAAAATAGGAAACAAGCATTACCTTCAGATACTCGTCCACATCAGACTTCATTTGCTTAGCTTTTAGAGCAGCATCAACCTCTGAAAATATGTGCGGTGATCTATGCATTTCTGGTAGCAGGTCAATCTGCAGAAGATACTATTTATAAGAAATTACGATATATTAAGGTAAAGTATCATGTATCAACCTAACATCTTAATGAAAAATCCAATGAATAATGCAAACTCATTAATCAAATACCTTTAAGTTGGGAGTAGAAGGATCCGGCAGCCTCATATTGCGTGGAAATGCACTAAGGATAACATTTCGCATCTGAATACAGCTTGAAGGGATCACATCACAGAAGCTGAAGTGATTATCACCCAGAAACTCTGGAAAATCATGCAACAGCACAAGTAACACCCTCAGAGTTCCCTTGTACAGACTGTGAATCTGCAAAGGACGCAACATAAAATTAAGAGAAATTAGAAAGAGACTTTCAAAACTATTGATGCTGCAGGATAAGTTAAAGAGAATCAAACCGGTTCTCCAAGTTCAGCATTCCTCAAGTAAGGCTCCATGAATCTGAACAAGTCTACCAGCAAACATTGAACATAGATCCAACCTTTTGGCACATTGATAGTTAGCAATTTTGGCATAAAACTGCAGTGACTCACCAGCTCAAGCCATGCAAAGCTGAAATTAAATTTTTTCGTTACTACACAAAAGCAAACGTCTGACGAAAAAGAAGAAAAACAAAAGCAGAAAGACTAACAGCCAGTATCAAAGAAAGTTCACAAAGATATATTATGTCCAAATAACTTTATGCTATCGTTCTCTACCACAGAAATATTTTATATAGCCTAATATAGAAATATAATAAGGCAATGTGGAGCAAAATCTGAGCAACACTTTTTTGTTTTACCTTTATAGCAGAAGAAACTATTGTGCTAGTATCAAAAGCGGGACACAGAATAGTAGGATGACCAATGGTTCATCAGAAGATTTACAAATTAGTGCAAAAAAATCTCTACAGTATATTCTCCATACACATCCAAAACCTAACTATAGCGTAGCATCGCTCCCAAGTTTCCAAAATGAAGAAAAAAAGAACAATCTTAGAATTCTACGAAACCCCATAAAGAAAATCATTAAAATAAAGGCCCCTCTTCTCAAGTTACAGAGGGCAGAAAAGTTATGTTTAAGTACAGCCTTGAATGTTTCGAATGGCTAACCTGAATGCAGGAACTTTAAGGGGCTGCAACGCATGGAAAGCATTTGCAAAAATGATCAAAACCTGAAAGTATCCTATCTATGTCAGTTCATAAATTTTAAAAGAAGAAGCAGATTTAATATATTTATATGAAAAATATTACAAAATAACCTATATATTATAACCAAAAGACCTGAAAAAAATTGAAACAAATACCTGAAAGTTAGCAATGTCTGAGGCAGGATCCTGGGAAACAAGATCGAAAAGCCAGTTGATAAGCAACCTGAAGTATGGCCTTGGATTGAAAGATCCCTTCTTCACCTCTGCATCTCTCTGTACAATTCTGACAGTTACCGATAGAATCTGCTGACAGCCATAATTTATACCATTCAGCCAGTTTTTCCAAAAATAAGAAACAAATAAAAGTAAATTCTAACACAAACCTTTGGCCATAGCAAGAGTTTACTTGGTCCATGCTCCATAATGCAATACTAGCCATCAGAAAACAGACACAGCATAAGGAACTGCACGATGATGGATAGCATACCGAGACCAAAAATTTTAACAAGTGAAAATTATACCCTCAGAATGAAAGAAACAAGCTTTGCATAAGCATCGATCGGAACAAATGATAAATTTTGGGTAGCTTGAGCTGACTGAATTAACCAAGTACTTGAACTATTTTGCTCAGAGGGAAGGCAGTCTTCGACAGAGAATTCCTGAAACAAATAATAACAAAAATCATAAAAAAAAAATTTCAGTGCTACGTATCAGCAATTATGAAGTTTCCAAAACAGACAGAATATTACAGTGAGAATACGGAAAAAACGATCAGACATCCCATCCCCATCTAGATATCCATTTTGATGCAATTGTGCAATAAATTGCATGCACACGTCATCATTTGCGCCATGAAGTCCATATATCTGAGACCATTCCTTAAATACAGCAGAAACCTGTAGTATATTGACAATTTCACAAGATAAAATATAATATCATTATTCTCAGGAGATGCATAGATTTCAGAGAGAAAAAATCCAACATTTTGATATCTTAAATATAACCAAAAAAAAAATTAAAACTGATGAATGAACAAAAAAAAAATTTCTATTCTGTCACAATGTCATCTAATGATCTATATTCTCTACTGCAAGGGACCATAAGTGAGAAACTCGGAATAAAATTAGTATTTGTACCAAAATACTACCTGGGTGTGTGCAATATGGGTACAAATACAAGAATATGTTTAGTAAGAAACTTTTGGTTTTTAAGTCAGACCGCAACCAAAACACACTTTCTAAATCTCCATCCACACTTCTCTAGCATGATATTAAATTTTAGAGGTCTGACTAGGTACTGTACTCGTATACCTGATCATGAAAACCTGCAGGATCTAATCCAACAGATTCAGCATTGATGTACCCTTCCCTGCTTGTCATGGAACTATCAGATACCTGTTCAACAAGGCAATGAGAACTTATTCTTCGCATTAATCTAACAACCTCTATTTTATTCTAAAGAGAGAAAAATTGCGAGTATCAGCTACCATTATTTCACTAGTTTGCTTGGTCCGATCCTCCTTGCCAACAGTAACACCAGAAAGAATTTCTTCATTTGCAGCAGGATTCTTTGCAATTTCAACCAACTGTTGTAATGATTCTGGAGATCCTGCTCTCAGTGCAAGCTGCGGCAACCAGTCATCATTTACGTATTGTCAAACATTAGGATTACTCCAAGCAACTGAAAAAATAAACTAATTCCTACCTTTGCCAAGGCATCCACGAGACCAGGAAGTTCTGACAGATGGACTCTTGATTCTTGAACCAACAAGGTTTGAAGGAGATTTATTGCAAACTCCGTAGCAGCCTCTGTAAATTACGTATGATTGGAAAGCTTAATTAGATGCTCCAGCATATATGGACAAAGAGTCAAAATTTAACACATACTATTCCTTCCAGCATCAATTAGCTTTCCCATGTGCTTGTCATATTCGTCAAGATCTAGCAAATCCTTCCGTATAAGGCCAACAGTTACATTTGTATTAAACTTCCTTTCCTCCTTCGAATAAATCACCTAAAAGGAACAGGAATGTGTAGCTGTACATTAAGATCAAAGAAGTAACAGGAAAGTAAATGTAAAATCTAAGGGAAAGGTACAACATGTAAAACCAAGGCATAGTTTAACTGTATAAATGACTTTTCCCACTAACAAGCTCCTTGATATACTTTTATCAATTAACAGTCATACGGTAGCAAAAAATTACAACATATACTGAGAATGCTGATAAGGGTTGAGGAAAACTATCATATAGACAGCAACCCAAGAATTAATAGTGATGTGCAAAATTCCAATGTTGTAAGCATTTATTCAGCTTATACATCACTCATCCTCATTTGTAAGGATGACACATGGCTAGTATTTTTTATTTATTATTCTTATAAATTAGGAATCGGTATATGAAGATAGAAAAGTCAGAGAATGCAAAAGTGAACCACATATCCACCAAAAGATAGAAGCCTACCCGAAGAGGCAACAAAAAAAAAAAATTACAGAAGAGACAAAATATAGTGATCTGTGCAAACAAGAAACGGAGAGATACTCCTGCTCCCAAAGCAGCCATGTCTTTTGCTAAAAGATTCAAATACCCCATAAAACCAATTAAAGACTTTCATCTCATCTTTCTTGATAATTTCCCAGAAGCTCAAGAAANAAGGGACCATAAGTGAGAAACTCGGAATAAAATTAGTATTTGTACCAAAATACTACTTGGGTGTGCAATATGGGTACAAATACAAGAATATGTTTGGTAAGAAACTTTTGGTTTTTAAGTCAGACCGCAACCAAAACACACTTTCTAAATCTCCATCCACACTTCTCTAGCATGATATTAAATTTTAGAGGTCTGACTAGGTACTGTACTCGTATACCTGATCATGAAAACCTGCAGGATCTAATCCAACAGATTCAGCATTGATGTACCCTTCCCTGCTTGTCATGGAACTATCAGATACCTGTTCAACAAGGCAATGAGAACTTATTCTTCGCATTAATCTAACAACCTCTATTTTATTCTAAAGAGAGAAAAATTGCGAGTATCAGCTACCATTATTTCACTAGTTTGCTTGGTCCGATCCTCCTTGCCAACAGTAACACCAGAAAGAATTTCTTCATTTGCAGCAGGATTCTTTGCAATTTCAACCAACTGTTGTAATGATTCTGGAGATCCTGCTCTCAGTGCAAGCTGCGGCAACCAGTCATCATTTACGTATTGTCAAACATTAGGATTACTCCAAGCAACTGAAAAAATAAACTAATTCCTACCTTTGCCAAGGCATCCACGAGACCAGGAAGTTCTGACAGATGGACTCTTGATTCTTGAACCAACAAGGTTTGAAGGAGATTTATTGCAAACTCCGTAGCAGCCTCTGTAAATTACGTATGATTGGAAAGCTTAATTAGATGCTCCAGCATATATGGACAAAGAGTCAAAATTTAACACATACTATTCCTTCCAGCATCAATTAGCTTTCCCATGTGCTTGTCATATTCGTCAAGATCTAGCAAATCCTTCCGTATAAGGCCAACAGTTACATTTGTATTAAACTTCCTTTCCTCCTTCGAATAAATCACCTAAAAGGAACAGGAATGTGTAGCAGTACATTAAGATCAAAGAAGTAACAGGAAAGTAAATGTAAAATCTAAGGGAAAGGTACAACATGTAAAACCAAGGCATAGTTTAACTGTATAAATGACTTTTCCCACTAACAAGCTCCTTGATATACTTTTATCAATTAACAGTCATACCGTAGCAAAAAATTACAACATATACTGAGAATGCTGATAAGGGTTGAGGAAAACTATCATATAGACAGCAACCCAAGAATTAATAGTGATGTGCAAAATTCCAATGTTGTAAGCATTTATTCAGCTTATACATCACTCATCCTCATTTGTAAGGATGACACATGGCTCGTATTTTTTATTTATTATTCTTATAAATTAGGAATCAGTATATGAAGATAGAAAAGTCAGAGAATGCAAAAGTGAACCACGTATCCACCAAAAGATAGAAGCCTACCCGAAGAGGCAACAAAAAAAAAAAATTACAGAAGAGACAAAATATAGTGATCTGTGCAAACAAGAAACGGAGAGATACTCCTGCTCCCAAAGCAGCCATGTCTTTTGCTAAAAGATTCAAATACCCCATAAAACCAATTAAAGACTTTCATCTCATCTTTCTTGATAATTTCCCAGAAGCTCTAGAAAAAATCACCCCAGATTAACTACATTCTTTTGCTTAACACATTGGTAACTATAGTTATAAATCAAATCATTATATTTTTAGCCTTCCCACATTAACTTAAAGAATTAATACAGATACATTAATTGAATTATCAATTTATCCCAATCCAAGAAACAATTATGTCACTCGCACCTTCAATTAAAAAAACCATCAATCAATAGATAATATGCAACCCTTAAATTACATTATCTACACATATCTTGCTCAATCAAGAAATTGACAAAACAATCCATGACTAGTTTAAAAAATGAGGTTTAGTTCAAAGGAAATACAATCAGAAGTCTGAGAGGATTTAGTGACTTTACCAAGTTAAAATACAAATACATGTAATGACATAATCTTACAATCTACCATGTTTAATGTCATGGGTAGGAACGAAAGAATAGTACTTAAGTTCTAACATGGACAATGCATGTGAATCAAGTACAACTTAACCGCAACAATAAACACAAACTCAAGTTAACATGATTTAGCTAATAAAATGGAAGGATTTATGTAAAAGACCATCTCATCAACCGATCTCTAATACCACGTTAAGTTACAAACTGAATCCAAAAACTTAAGCTAATTAGTAAGGACCAAAATTGTCTTTAAGCTCTAACAAATTTTAAAAAAATGAAATACAAACCAGCCTAAACTTCTTGGAAATAATTGACAAAACAATGCTTCTCAAATAAACACTTTAATCAATAACTAAACTAGTGTACTTGGCTAAACATCCAAGCTAACTCAACACACTTTACCCCACATTAGATCCTAATTTGGAAATTTTTACCAATTACTCACTCAACTATGACTTTCATGCATCTCTCTCCATTTACTTCTGTTTTCTCCAGGAAACTTTATAAGTGTAAAAAACTCAGAACTTACAAGTAGGGCTGTGACCCAATCCGAGCCGCTTGCTAGTAGCTCGGGCTCAGCTCAACATTCTCGAGCTCAAGCGGCTCGAGTTCATACTCAGGCCACCCATTACTCGGCTCGAGAGGCTCGTGAGCATAACGGAGCTCGAAAGGATATATATGTAAGTTTTTGAAATTATGCGGGGCTTTATGTAATTTTTTGTTTTGCATATAAAATTGAAAAAATTGTAGAAACCTAACTTCTTCTTCTTCCTTCACCAACTCATTTCTCCTTCTCTTCACTTTCTTCTTTCTTCTCCTTCTCTCTTTTTCTCTTCTTTGAAAAAAAGCAACAAAGCTAATTGATGGCACCTTAGATCTACCGGTTTTATTTCCTTCTTCTTCACTTTTTTTTCCTAAATGACTTTTGGTGTTGATTGATGGTGTTAGGGGGCTATGGTGGTTGGGTTCTTTGGCTGTGAGCTACTGTGGTGTTTTGCTTGATAGTTTGTTGTGTATTTGTTGGTTTTTATGGGTTGGGAAGGTGAGGTAGCGGTGGTTGACGGCTTGAAGAGGTTAGTTAAAGGTGGTTCAAGAAGGACAGTATGAAATGGTTTGGGAGCTGCCCATCAGCTGTTTGGGAAAATGCCTCACCCATTGCCCAATTTTATGTTTGGTTTCTGTTGGGGCCTAAATCGAGCTCAAGCTTGGCTTGATTCGCTGTACTACTCACCAACCCCAAATTCTCCATCGAGCTCAAGCTCAAGTTCCTCCTGTACATGCCGAGCTGAGCTCGATTAGCCTCGGCTCGGCTCAGCTCGATAACAGCCCTACTTACACCCCCTTACAAAGAGCACTAACACATTAGGCTCTGAATACATCAAATTGTTTTTACATTAAACCAAAATGTAACGGTAAAATTTGTCATTTGAATAACCGTTCTTTCCACGACTTATTTGAACAATAAAAGATGCTTAAAAATTAACGCTACCCTTCATTTGAGCTCACAAATCTTGATATAGAAATAAAGTACGTTTAAGTCCACAAATTTAAGAACACTTCTGATAAAGAACAAAAAATATGTGAGACAGTAAGAGGGACCGGAAAGGGAGCCTAATTTATTTACATTGTATATGTTAGTCAAGCAAAAGAAGGCAGATTAAATTAAAAAGACAAAAATGTATAAAACGCCAACAATTGGTGCAATGAATTGTTTATAGCCACATACCCAACTTGTAAGATGCTTCATGACATTCTTGCAAACATCACGAATAGCCACCAAAATCGAAAGATGAGCAGCAACATGTATAGAATTTGAAACATTTTCGTATAAACTATTAAAAACCTGGGCCAAAAGTAGAAAAAAGAATTTGAGAGAAGAGAACAAAATATAACCAATTTTACAAACGGACAATAGCAAACCTTTTGGGCTACAGCCAGGGCAACTTCATCCCGATTTACATATTTCAGTATCAATTCAGGAATCTGAGCAATAACTCCCTGAACAATTAGAAGCCCAAATCAATATGATTGTTGAAATATATCTTCAAGATATATATACATATAATATACAATATAAGATCTGTAGTGGCATCTAGAATATTTTTTTAAAATAATTAAATAACTAATTTTCAACCACAGATCCAATTGATGCAAAAGGAAAAACAAAAGACTACCCGAATTTCTGTCTCCCCAGAATCCTTCGTCACCAAAGTTTCCAACTGAAACACAGCAACCCATTGAGTAGTTATTAAGATTAAGAAACTACCAAGCACTAAATAAAAAGAAAGATATTCAAGAAAACCCAGCATATACATTCGGCCCCCCTCCGTTTCCTACTTTTTTTCTAACTTGGAGGTACGGAGTTAGATTAAAAGGAGAAATACAAAATGAAAAATCTAAGACATTCAGGATTTGATAGAATCTAAATGGGATCATAATTTAATCTATTCAACACAATAGAACAATAATTTTTGTTTTTTTTTTTTTTTTTGAAAGTAAACTTTGAGTTGGGTATTGCCGTGAAAAATAATCAGTGCATTAAAAGGAACAATAATTAAAGAACCAGAATAAACCAAAACGAATGGGGTGTAAAATGAACTGGTGAACATACTACCTTCTGTGCAACAATTTGATATTTTTCCAGAACATCTGCCACAGATGATGACGACTCTAAAGTTCCACTTCCCAAGTGCCCTGAGGTAGAATCATAGGTATGACGGGAAAAGTTCCCAATTCCTTTTAGAAAACCAAGAGCAGAGATCAGATGAAATGATAAAGGTCATTAACAGGTACGAATTATAAAATAAGAACAAAAAACGATAAATCATAGAATATTTATATGACAGTTTCTGACTTTTGCAGCATTAAAGGTCCCCACTGAACACTTCAGGTGCAGCGGAAGTTGAGAAAATGAAGCAACAGAATTGATCTTAGAGCCATGAGGAATAACACCATCAATTGCTCCAATGCGAGTTGAAGAACCACTGTCAAAATAATAGATGAGAGAGAGCAGAGTAGCATTGTTGATGGGGAGGAAAAAAAAACCTCAACAACTATATATATATATCGCACCTAAGAAACTGAGCAGAACTAGGCTCCATTTCCTCAACATCTGAGGGCTGAGTTACAGCACTCAATCCAATAGTTCCAAGCCCAGCTGAATAAAAGCCAGGGTTAAGCTGTCCTGCAGATGAAACATATGTGCGAGACAATCCAGAACTGACAGATACACCAGAAGGTGTATGTGGACCAGAAAGTACAGTATTTGAGCTCTGGCCAGATTGATTTTGCCAGGGAAACCGAACAAAATCCTAACAGAAAAGATAATAGAAGACAGTTAAAAATCCTTGGACAACATAAAATGAACTGTACTATATCATATATAGGTCAAAATAACTAACCTCATATACTCGCTGTTGGGAATGAGACAAGTGACCTGGTCGGGGGCGCAGGGCCTCAGGTATGACACCCAGGTGACGCTGTGTATAAACACTTGCATTATAAAATGAAGGGCCAATGCCCTCTCTATGCTTCCTTCTCAAAGAAAGTTGCGCAGTAATGTCAGCATCAATGGTTTGCAATGCCTGAAATAGCACAAAATGCACCATAGAGAACCAAGAGGGTAAAACTAAAATTGCAAATAATATTGACTTTTTATCTTTTTGGATGGAGAATAGAAAAAATCATATGAAGACATAGTGAAAAGTATAAAAGTGTACTAGATATCCATCAACTTAAAGATTCTCTACAAGCAAATCAACCCCCAATGCAAATACAAAATAAGCTGAAAATCTTTTCCAGTTAAAAGACCATCATTATCCTTAGGACAACAAACTTTAGCCCAATTCAAGAGATGGTAGCTCACTTTTGCCATAACCTTCCCAAAGAAAGTCCCAAATCCTGTTTCCAATTATATTGGCTATCCACTAGGAATCTTAAACAGGGAAGAAAGTCTATAGCAAGCACATTAAGATACAAATAAAAACAATGACAAACAAGAACATTTGATTTCCACAAACAAGGCACATTACAATATTTAATATTTGTATTAAGTAACAGAATGGATTATGATCCGAAAATAATTTTAAAAAACTATTTCATTCCAAATCCTTGTGCACCATAGAAGTCAAAATGGTAGAAGCAATATATATATAATGTTAACATGTGCGCCAAAGATACATGATAAGAGGACTAAAAGACAAAAACTTGGTTGTTTCAATGCACTATAAAATGTAATTTTCTGTCTATTTCTATATAAAATATTTTTATATAACCAAAAGTCTTGTTTGTTTGTACCCTAAACATCTATACATGGTCAGCTAAAAACAATAAGAGAAGCAAATAAATATACCTTCTCAGTTGCAGCCTGTTCAATCACAGCACAACCCAGATCAAGGTTATCATTCATAACAAGAGGCACAGCTTGCTCGAGGAGTTCATTGGAGATATTTGAACCCTGAAATGAACTCCTAAGTTGATTTGATATTGAAATACGAAGGGGTTCCTAGAAAAAGAAAATAAGCAACAGTAAATCATTATCAGAAAATGCAATTGATTAACGGGTCAAAACAAGATACTTAGCAGCATAAAGCCATGTACAACTAGTAGAAAAACAGATTCCACCAAAAAAAAAAAAAAAAGGATAAATACAGACCTTGCATGTCACATGAGCCAAACTCCCAGCAAGACTAGCAACCATCAAGTGCGCAGCATTATATATGCGGGTCTCATCAGATTCCATAGCATAGTCCTTTTATATTTATTAGATGAAAAGAAAGAAATACATAATAAGCAAGTGCAAATTTATAAATCACAATACATAAAACAAAAAGAAAAAAAAAAAAATTGGGGCAGTTCCAACCTTCAGTACAAGTTCTTTGGTTGTCTGAGTAGCGATGGCAACACTGCGTTGGACAATGGGAAGCATTACCTCTTTGATAGCAAGCTCCATTGCAGAAGGAACAACTCTGTGAAGACGATATGGGTAAACTACAATGAGGAAAGAATTGATCACTTAAATCAGACTAGAAAGATGAAATACCAAATCCAAACCTCTGAAAGTAGTGCAAGCCCAAAGCACTGAGCTTTTGGTTTAAAATAATGTGATTTCCAATATTATGAATTGGTGAAGGTAGCTGCACATATAGCAAACATGAACACCTTAGTAGAGCACAGCAATAGTAGTTATTACTTAATAGAAAACAAAGTCTATGTGTGAAAGCAACCACACCTGACCAACAGAATATGGTTGCTGCGATGGAGCTACTTGAGCGGAAGGAAGGCGATCAGGTAGACCTAGACCAGCAATCTTTTCATCCTCCACTAATGGACCAGAAGCAAGATGAAGGCCACCAACATACTAAAACCAGAAAATGAATTGAAATTCAAAAGAATGAGAAGTATATAACCATAACCAATTAGTAAAGATTAAACAAAACAAACCTGGGGTATAACTTTTAGACGGCCACCAGGATGAGATGAATTGACAATTTCAGGATTTAGATCAACCAGATTCAATGTAGGGATGATTCCAGAGTTGACTTCTGTAACCACTTGTGGCTGAGATGCCCCAATATCTTTATTGGAAAAATCAGGGTTCCCTTCTACTGCCCTAACACAATCTTTTAGAAGAGATGTTGGTTTAACTTCCTTCATATCAACCCCAAGGTTCTTAAAGAGGACCTGAAGACATGGGACCGGATAAAAGATACAGTTAACAAAGAGACAATAATTTAATTAACAATTTTTAACAATGTAGTAAATGTTTACAGCTTTTTCTGACCTCAATATCAAACTTAAGATTCATTTTTAGATTTGGCATCAAATAAATCTCTGTGAGTAAACCAAGAATTGCCATGGTCCACGGATTGGGAGGCTGGTAAGCAAGACTACTTTGGCATGGTTCCAAAATCTGCAGCACATTGAAGCCAGCAAAACATCAAGCATCAAGCATCAAGCGAAGATGAGGTACCTCACATCAGTAAGAAAATAATACCTTTGAGGTAAAAGGAATCACAGCAATCATCAGTCCCTTCTGATATGCCTGTCCCAATAAAAAAGCAAAAAGAATTAGTATTATTACTATTATTATTATTTTGCCAAATGTACATGTATGTGTGGACTATCAAGATATATTGTGGAAAGAGAAAACTAAGAAGCTAAAATCACCAACAAAGAATTGCAAAATAATTACTTCTATGATTAAAGATTTGGGATCTATTTCTGAAGCCCTAAGTACTTGATTTCTGCCAATAGTAAACTTCCCAAGCCAGCTACCCAGATTTTTCAACAAGGAGCGCTCTTCTGAACTCGATTTTATAAGCTCCGATCTTAAAAGAACCTGGAATACAATGCTCATAATGATTAATCAATCTACAATATAATTACTTCAAACAGAAATGTTTTAGCACATAAGACCAAACCTTGCAATTTTCATATGCAGCTTTAACAATCTCTTTATTCAATGCTTTTGAATTAACTTTGTCCAGAAACTTCAAGTACAAGTCATGGAAATTGGGTTCAATGCTTGCTCTGGCAAGTATTTATTGACATGTAGGTTAACCAAAAATTAGTCAGATGATAAAGGATGAGAGCAACAATGTTTTGACAACCACATGCATAATCCTTCCACATACATGAATATATAGAAAACGTTTTTAGAAATAAATCAGAACTCCTTATAGTGGAATTTGATCAAACCTTTTCATCACCATATACTGAGCAAACCAAGAATAATACTGTTCACTTAAAATCTCAGTAAAATCCTTTGCTTTCGCATCAATGTTTAAAGTTGAAATATTATTGATCATAAATAGTATCTTATCCTGAACCTCTGATGCAGGAGCCTGTAAGGAAAATAATACAAAATTATACTTCTTTTACTCTTTAAGAAATATATAACTTATCTACAGTGGAGTGAATGATGCAGAGGAAAATAAAATATCTTCTAAAGTAGGAAGAAATAAAAAAATGTGCAAACAAATACAATATCTATATTATATATATATATATATTCAAAAAATCAGTTCTGTAGGACTATATTTAAAACAGTCCGATACAAATTAGTGTCAACTTAAGTAAAGTAATCTGACTTTACTATAAAATGGTTATTTAGGTTACCATTATTTCGTACCGGGATTGTTTTAAATATAGTTCTTTATCTGACTAGAGAATTTATATATGTCTGTGTTAATGAAGGACTGGAAGGGTAACAACAGATCACTGCCATAAACTAATATTAAATCACATAGCACCCAACATCCACAGAACAATGAGGGACATTTAAGCTATAGCTGTGCAACTCTGCCACCTATGCCAGGCATTGCTACTTTGCCACTAATAGATAAGATGCTTCATTTCATCTCAATCATATTACTGGATATCATCTCCACTATTGCTTCTTACCACATTGGGCAACATAAGAACTTAAGATCAACAAAATTATTTAAATCATGAGATAATGTGATATTAATTACTATAGCATATAATTCTCTTTCATAATGTATTAATATGTTGCTACACTTTAAAGGATACATACATGTAATAGGTTCGATCTGGGTTATCACACAATTTAAACTAAATATATTGGTTTCTTAGTTTCTTTTCTGAGACAGAAGCAGATAACCCAAGAACTTCATCTGAAAAAACAAAATTGAACTTTCTGATTTCAGTTAATCAGTTCGATAACATTGGTGACACCAACACACCAAGTTAAGATGAATGATAGCCCATCTAATACTTGAGCTGCCAACTGCCCACATTCAATGATTACTACAAACCTTACTAGATATCAAATACTTCTAAACAATTTCCAGACTACATAAGTAAGTCGAATTACATCAGACATTTTACAACATAGATCACTTCCTACGGAATCATCATATCAATACATTTTTCATTTAAAGGGAGGAAAACAAACTTCAATTTTATTTATCAATCATATAGCATAAAATTCAAACCTTAACTATTAATTTGTCATTTCCATGACGCATTAATGTACAAGACTCAATATTCAATGTTATCTATAAAAAAATTCAAATTAAAAAATGATCTTGATTATATCGAATAGTTCAAAATAATTACAGATTACCTAATCTTCAAAAAATCATTGCTGCTGGATATCAAACACTTCTAAATAATTTCCAAGCTAACATAAGCAAATGGAACTACATCAGGAATTTTATAACAAAGATCTCTTCCCAAGGACTCCTCACATCAAAACATTTTTCACTTAGAGAAAAACCAATTTCTTCTATTTTTATCAATCATACTGCATACGATTCAAACATTAACTATTAATTAGTCATTTCCATGAAAAATAATGTGTAAGACTACATATTGAATATTATATATAAAAATTTTCGAACTCAAAATGGTCTTGATTATATAATTCAAAATAATTATTTAAAAAAAAAAAAAAAAAAAAAACAAACATAAACATAATCTTGAAAACATGACTTATAAGGGTTTAAAAGACCAGGGCATCACTTCATAAATGACAATATTGTGACTTAGTATAGAGAAAGCTGAAAACTGAATATAACAGGGTATCATAAAATTGTAAAGCCATTTGTCACAGTAAATAAAAGTACATATTATTTCCTTCAAAGAGATGTCTTAAACAATCTTATATGGATTTGTTCACCAATCAAGGTATAATTCTTTGGAGCAGTATAATGTTCAAAATAATTTATTGTCCAAATTATATAACAGAGATTATGCTGCATCAATATCCTCATTAGCAGACCAGTTTAATCATCACTAGCACACTATTAAGTTTGTTTCAATTAAAAAAATGTATAGCAAATGTTATGCTTCAAATTAGATAATCAAGAACAACTGTATAAAGAGAAGTACCATCTCTAATAAACGTTATTCTTAAAATTTAATAATTCGATAACTGTTCAATTTATGTAAACAATATGATACCTTGATGGCAGTATCCCTTCTCTCAGCTGCCACAATGAGTGTTTCAATATTCAGAGCAGAACCAAACCCTGTATTATATGAATTTTGTCTAAGCACGCCTACAGAAATGGCATATTTTATAAATTAGATGCAAGAGTGTTAGAAGAATTCTGGATGGATCCTGGGAGAATTATCATCCAGATTTCTTGCCATTATCAGTCAGAAAAGGTTTCTAGACTTACTAGTTGAGGTAATTCCCCTAGAAGAATGAAGAAAACTAGAAGATGAAGACAGGGCTGCTTGGACACTTGCTGTATTTTGTGATGACAAAATTTGTGAGGACTGAAACACAATTACAACGGTGAAGAGAATTAAGAAGACAGAGAAATTATAAATGAGCAAAAGGATTAATAAAAAGACGAGGGAATACATTTTGATAACTAGCTGTATCACTTGAAATGACCGAAGGGTGCGTAGAGAGAGACAAAAGTGGTTTTGCATAACTATTTGAAGTGGTAGATTCTTTGTGCCTGTCACGAAGAAATAATTGATATCCCTGTTGCATCTGGATTGGAGAAGAGATTTGCTGCCCAGGCTGTGTGTTCCTAGATCCCAATAACTGCGAAGAATCAGGTACCTAGATCATTTAGTAAATGCATCAGAATCATTAAGTGTTTTAAATTGACAAGTATAGCAATTTAGGAACTAAAGACAAAGAAAAGCTTCAAGGCATTTTGTGATCAAAACAATTCCTCATGTCATAGGTAAGGTCTCTAGTTTCTTCAGGAGTTGAGACAACATCCCTTCTTATCAATACAAAATCAACTATAGTAATAAAGAAGAAGATACAAAACAAGGATGAACTGGAGGTCCACCCTTACAAAAGCATGTGTACACCTGCATCAAGAATAGAGAAGATACAAGAAATAAGATATGGGGCACTAAAAATAAAAGATCTTTTAAGTGTTGCCTCCAAAGTTCTGCCGTATAAAAAACAGCAAGTATCTAAGAAATCTATTTTACACTAACGCCATAATGTAAGACTGTGCTTTGTCCCATAAAAAAACAATGTTTTCTCCTCTAGATCATCAAAGATCCTTCTATTCCTTTCCAAACAAATAATTCATTGAATTCTGATACTTCCATACAACCAAATCATAACTGAAAAAGCCAGCCCAGAATTTTAAAGGCTCTTACAAATATTAAGCTTGACATGAGTCAATAATAAACTGAGTCAAGAAAACATCCTGTAGAACCAAACTGTTAAGAGTGAAAAGGCCAGTGAAATATTTTAAGCCTCTTCTACATATTAACTATGAAATTAGTCAACATTTAAAACATTATAACAATATTGATTGGGCATAAAACGATAGAGAAATTTTGATACACCAGAGTTCGAATATATCAAAAACACTGATGTTATCTTTTGTAGAAATATAGCAAATATACTGTATATTTCCTTTGCTTCACCAACATGCAGATCTTCTGATAGACCACAAATTCACCTTACTAATTTGTATACAGTAATAAATTATTTTTGTTTCCATTCATAATTCCAACAAGTCAATACTTAGACATCATATTCTTGCTGAATTGTTACAATGGTTTGAAACCTTTGATAATATCAAGCCTTCTTTTCTATTCCCCAAATATAAGTGGGACTTGGACTTTAAAAAAAAAAAAAAAAAAAATTTATGATAAAGCTTCGTTCAGCTTTTTCAGTGATATCTAGAAGAAATATGAAAAACATTCATTACTAACAAGTAAAGAAGGATAAAAAGAAGAAAACAAAATATAGATTAAAAAAGAAATAAAACAAACAACTTCCTCTCCACTCGCCAAGTGATCAAACTCACTATATGTACCTAAACCCATCAATAATATGTTAAGCTTTCAGTGAACGCATAGAAAAGGAAAGTGCATGAGTGAAAAAACTACGCATGCATTTTAGCAAAAGACAAGATCTAGGACTTTTTAATTACAGTTATAAAGGTGAAAAGCAATGTAGCTTCCAATCCTCCATTCTGGTATCAATAATTCTGCATTCACTCCAGCCAAATATCTAATGAAGATAGCAAAATGCTCATTGTAGAAACTAAACTTGGGTAACAAGAAACCAGTATAAGTTGGCTTTAGTGTTTCACTTAGCCTTACTCATGAAAATTGTAACTTCAATTTGGGAAAGGGGATATGGGGGCAGGCTGAAGTTACAAATTTAAAACTTACAGCATATTCAAGTGCATGACATGAGACAATGTTTCAAAACCATATGTCACCTCCACATTTTCCAACGTAGCTGGAGAACCATTGTGAGGATCAGTAGGACCACCATTGGCTCTATTTAATTCTGAGTAGCCGGATGAAGCCCTAGCGAGAGCACGTTCAACAAGTGCAACAAGCTCAGGATGAGTACCCCGCAAATGAGATATTTGCAAAATATGATTGCAGTATTGTGGCAACTCAACTAAGCAATCCAAAAACTGCTCCAAAGCCTTGGTACCAAAAGAGAATATCTACAAGCCAAAAACATCAACAATGTTAGGAAAATATATATATATATATATATATATATAGAGAGAGAGAGAGAGAGAGAGAGAGAGAGAGATGTTAATCACTGATGACAGAAATAGCAAAGAGAGCACAAACTTTTGAGTCTATAGGTTTACGCAATGCATCCAACACACCACGGAGAGCAATACCAAGTTCAAGATGGGTTACAAGACGATGCTTTATAAGAGAACCTGCAACATAGCAAATAAATGTGTTAGATATTCAACTCCAGAAGGCACATCTCAGTAAATATAAATTTAGCATACTCTATTACAGTGTTTCCACACATACAAGTTATACGATCAAACCTCATTCTCGCCCACCAAAGGCAAGATAGTATGGCACAAACAAGTATAAATCACAAAATAAGCATACCAAACAGAACAGCTGCAATCTTTAGCTGCTTTTCTGGATATTGTAGGAAGAAACTGTACTCTTCAAACAAATTATGTATCATGCACCGAAAGATTAACTGTTCCCTGTCAATTCACACACGATTACATTAAACCATCATACCAGATCTGAAATTCAAGCAGACATGGCAAAATTGGTAAAAGTAACTGTGTAATGCAACAAAGATAGGACTAACAAATTTCTAAGAGGATAGAAGACAGTATGCTATATTACTAAATTTCAGACACAAGTTCTACTACTATAAAAATTCAGTCTGCCAAATAAAAAATAAACACTGAAAAAGTGAAAAGAACACTGTATAGTGTAAACTATGAAGTCATGGCACACATCTGTTGAACATGATGGAAAGACAGAAAAAAGATCTAAACACTAAGCATCAAATTAAAAGCTCTAACATATGGAACATGATACGATAAAAAGTCCTCAAGATTAAGTTAATAATTTACCTTTGCTCATAAGACTCCTTGAAGCGTGCGAGCATCTGAACTATCGTATCAACAGGTACTTGACCAGAAAATATTTTCTGAAAATAAGAATTCACTTCATCCTCTATATCATCAGCATATCCCTCAGATGCTGATGCATCTGAAGCCCCAACATTTTGCAGTCGAGGACCAACATGCAAAGATGTCTCTTGCATTCTTTTCAATTCCTCAGCGAGGTGGTCAGAGGCAAATTGCTTAGAATTATCTTGAAGGACCTGTAAGATATTAGACGTCATCAGAAGTTATGTAATCAAGGAGACCACAACACATTATAGCTAAAGAAATTGCTAATATCAAGCAGAACCTTTAAAATAGTTAAATTTGTCTCTGTTTGTAAGTTCACAACAGCACCAGAATGTTCAAACAAATTGGCAGATACATCATCTGCTGCATCAAAAGTCATCTCCTTCAAAAACTTAAGGCATTCCTGGAAATCAGCAGTATGAAAATTATGAATAATATCTTCTGTGTACTCTGATTAAAACCAACAAGAGGCTTTATTTCTCATGGTAAATTGAATGAAAATGTTATACAGGAGATTAAGAAAACTGACTGCTAAGAAAATATCTTTGTAGACTGTCAAGTTATCATTCAACCATGTCTCAAGATTTATATATTCTTTCTGAGAAGCAAGGACAGCCAGTCGAATACCAAATGAAAACGGACTTTGCTCCAAGAGGAGTTGTAAAATCTGTAATGTATAAAGAATAGATAAAAGAAAATGAAATAATAGTAACAGTTAATAACCATACAATAATTACAAGAAGAATAACAATAATAATAATGTAGCAGAAGAGGAAGTACTAAATAACAGAAAACGCAGAACAGTTGCTAATGAAAGAAAGGTTTATAAGCATTCTTCTCTTCATATTCCAAAGTAAAACTGCACTTGCTAAAAAAATTTATAAAATAACTAGAAGAATTTTGTTGCTCTTTCTTTTAAAAAAACTCATCTTTTGTGGTCACTTATTTTCTCAAGACACATAACAGAGTAAACCAAGTGTAACAAAACTTGCAAGTAGAAATCAAATTAGAAAAGAAAATTCACAAAATTAAATTTCCAAATCATAAACTTTTAGGAAGATAACACTTGTTCCCACACCTAAACAGCCACTTGAAAAGCCAAAAGAAAAAAATGCCATGAGCACTGGCACACCAGAAGATGTGCTGAGAGAGGCGTCCACACTTGTATGTTTCATTACCAGTCAATTGTCAATCAACCAACTTCTTATAATCCATAAACCCTAAACCATTTGTCCCAGATGCAAGGTTACACACACATCTTCAGCTATTTTACAGCAGCACTAATGACTACAATAAATGTTTAGATTAATACAAAAGAAGTGATTGGGCAAGTGATGAATACTGAATACAAATCAGATTAAGAAAATGTCAATAAGTTTGGCCAGGATCATGGGTCATGTGTCGCAAAACTACAAATATTTCACACATAGCCTTTAGGCTAGGATCCAAAAACCAAATTGCATGCAACCATAAAACTGAAATGACTTGATGCATCACACATCAATCTTACAGGAGTAAACATTCACAATTATCAAAGCCATTAGAAAGGCCAACTCCAAAAAGAAGAAAACGAAAAGGCTGATTGAAAGCCCACGTCAGAAATTAAAGATACTTCTTGATTCCCAAATAAATAACCAGAAATAGTTATAAGGAAAAAAAAACAATTAGATGTTGTAATAACTGGAAGAACACCATATAACTTTTAAGTTTTACCTTCAGCTCTTGGCAGATGTCTACAATTTTGAGCATGTTTCCTTGATCAATTCTAATCATGTCTATGAATCCACAGGTCACTAGCTTGGGGTTAGAATGCCAAAGGTGAAGAATCACACTTTTCATGGAACTTGCAACTATCAAGGGAAAAACAGTGGAAACCACCTCGCACTGAAGGAGGCTATAAGCAGTCTGAAAGAATGAAATAACTCGCTATCATGCACCGTACGAGGTACCGAAGAGCCAATAACATCAACTCTAAAATACAAATTGATATATAAAAAGAGCAAAAAGAATACATTAATTTGTGCAATTCCAAGAAGTAAGATTCCAGGGGTGTGTTTGAGAGGATACTCTAGCATTGCTCGTACTGAACCCATATGGCCCCTCTCAGCTAATTGGCATAACACCTCCAAAAGATCAAGAGATAACCATGCATGATTTCCGGGTCCATCTGGATGCTCATAACCATAAAGTACCTCATTATATGCCTACAGTTACAAGAAAATAGATTTTAATTTAAACAGCGAAAGGAGGGGAGAACGGGAAAGAAGATTAGGCATTTAAAGCAACAAGCCATACTAGTTTCTTGACAGAATGATCAAAGGTGAATATTTCGGGTGGGGCTGATACAGCATATCTGAGAAAAGATAACTGGCCATCAGCATTCTTCCAAACAGACCCACAAACAGCATGCAGAGGAAAAGGATCCTGTAAACAATTTTGAATGGAAGATTACCAACTATCATGAATTTAACATGGTATGATGAAAGGTACCAAAGCTCCAACGCAATACCTGACATGCATGAGCATAAGTGGACATGAAAAAAGAAAAAGCGCTGTTATTGGGGATGAAAAAACCCTCATGATCCAAATGTTCCATAACATGTACCCAATTAGTTCTTGGAGCCTGGAACTCAAATTAAAGTTGCCCAAATCAGACTTTGCCTTCTCATGTCAATATCACTATAAGAAGATGAAAAAGGAAAGAGATTATCCTACTATACTTACAAGTTCCTTAATCGAGTTAACGAGAACGTCAACATTCCAAGAGCTGAAGCCATTTAAATCAGATGAGGCAGTGCTGCCAATAGCAGAGCAAAATGTCGAATAGGAATTTTGATTTTCCTCAAGCCCAACAAAAGTGCGGGCAATTGTGCTAAGTATTCTAGAGAGAGTGACTTCTGTCAGAGGTGAAAAAAGTGACAACACCTCCTTGCAATGCGAAGAATTAAATGTGCATCCATAACCTAGTTCTCTCATAATGTCAGCCATGCTAGTTTCACTCTCCATCTCTGCTAAAATGGCATCAAATTCACTTTCGCTGCAACCATAAAATGTGTCCAAATTTCTGCATAAAAAGATATGGAGCAAACAGATGACTTACACCAAATTTACTACAAAACAATAAACAAAATTGATTACACAATCACTATAAAATGAAAGATAAATACCCTAGAGACCTAGCCTCCTGTAAATTACTTGAAAGCAATGGAGCCAATATCAATGGCGTCCTCTCTTTTGGATCCATCAGAGACAACATTTGCATAAAGGAGTCAACATGCTTGGCAAGGCCCTCTGATCTGTACAAGAAAATAATAATATTCTGAATTTTCTCAGCAGAACCAATAGAAGCAGGATTTCCACATAACTCTTCTATCTGACCCATGCTAAAGTTTTGCCCTGAGATACAATGAATTACTCTCATTATTACAGGAACAAACACACAAGATCACTTAAGAGAAGGTTATCACTAGCCCTGAAACAAAATCATTAAGGGAACTAAACTTACTGATTGTTCTCATCTCAGCGTTGTTTATATCTGCTAAAGCAAGACCAAGGGCAATTTTCTCAAAGACTGATAAGTGTAATGCATCACATAAGCCTCCAAGGAACTTTTCGCTGATCACCATGCTTCCCAATGATTCAGCAAACACAGTACCAAAATTTGGTTGATCTAATAGATATCTAAATATTGCAGCTAAAATATCTGGCCTCAGCTGCAGTTTCTGGATGTCTTCTCTGTCAAAATTCACATGATCCAGGCAAGTCCGTAGCAGCAAAATGCTTCCCTCAGTTCCATATTCAACAAACTTTCCAAATGAAAACACCATGCAAGTAACTAATGTAAGAATTCAGTCAAAAAATCCCAAAATTGTTTACTTCTCGATAGTCAACAACATCAATTGAAATATCAAAACTACATCACATCATTAAGCAAAGTAAAATGTTAAAATTAAATATTCAAACTCAGCAAACAATACAACACCGTGTTGTGTCCGTTTGTTACAGCTTTTCCATATAGAGGTTATGAAAATAGAGATTGTTTAACTAATTGATGGTTGTTTGGTTATGTAAATTATAAAAATTATTTTTATAAGCAAATCATCAATAATATTTTTATTATAATGGTAGAATTTCTATAATAATAAAAGATATTTTTCACATTTCATAACTTTAAAAAATAAAATAAAATAAAAAGTACCCTCATAAAGAACTAATTTCTTGACAAGAAACTTTAAAATTATATTAAAAATGAAAGGATACATACAGACCAGATATCCATACAATCAATACAAAAACCTTAACCACAACATCAAAAGCTGTACAGAATTGAAATACAAAATGTAAATCTATATGTACACTTATTAAAAGAAAATTAAAAATTTTAAAAATCCTTTGGAAAGTGCTTCCCCTAGTAGAAACAAAACAACTCCTTTAATCAACCATAACCTCTTCTTAAATCCCAATCAAATGAAACAAAAAATTGAAAAGAGATTTTGACAACAAAAATGCTTTTTCGGCCAATATATAAGCTGTAACGTATGCGCATTTAATCAGAATTCTTGGTCAAATGCTTTGACCCTAATTCTTGTAAGTGAAACACTCCTAAATTTGGACCATAGCCTTTTTTTCTAATAACTCAAAAATCCATATGGATGTCAGCTGGGTTTGAAAATAGTAACTACAATGATTCCTAACAACCTTTAGCAATCAAGAAACCAAGATATTATATTCCAAGCAGCTGGTCTCATTCCATCTCAAGAGTATTTGAACTTCAACCTCTTGGTCATACAGTTCAACCCACCCTTTAAGGTTACATCTGCCTCTAAGTATTCTATGCAAGATCACAATGAGGTGTATTTTTCTATCCATCTCTTATTCTTTTTATTTGATAGTAGACAAAGAAACTGGCATTAATATAAAGGAGCTTATTAGGAAACAGTCTACTAGTCAAGGGCTAGCCTACATTAATGCCAGGGCACTATTCAAGGGCAAACAGTCCACTAGTCAAGGGCTAGCCTGAAAAAGCAAAAAGTCCTATACACAATATATATTAGAAATCCCCAAAACACACCAACCAAACGAAAAGATGACTATGAACACTCAGATTTCAAAAACTACACCTATATTAAAATGCACATCTCATTGAAATGTTATGGTATAAGTCTTTTATTTTTCCTTTATTCAAAGCCTTTTTAGTAAACTGTTGTTCCGTTTTCCTTTCGATCTTCAGTTACTCTATCCTACAAGGAATGGATGTCTTCCTCCCCATTAAATTCAAATATCCTTATACTCCTCTTAATCCAGATCACCTAAAAAAATTGCCAGAGCAGTGCCACGGAAGTAGCTTTATTGCATTTACCAGAAGCATCCAAGAACCCTATTGATAGGGATCTATGAGAAGCTAGAATAACCTAGGATGTTTTAGCTACCTGAATATAGAACCACAAACCAATAGCTAAGGGGGCCCGGGGTAATAAGTGGTCCATGTTTTCCTCAATTCTTCTAGAAATTACATGTCATGAAAGAGTCAAGCACATATTAGGAAAGGGAATCTTCGTTGAATAACTTCAACTGTAATGACATTCCAGATCATTCTACTGAGCAAAAAATAAGGAAAAGAGTGGTCATCGATCATCCAAGAGAAGAAGGATTTACAGGAGAAGAAACCTGAGCAGTCCAACTTCCACACCCTTCTTACCTCTCTAAGCTCATTAACAGAGATATATTCAAATATAGCCAGGAGAGTAGTGACGTACTGGATTTCTTCTTCATTCAGGAAGCAGAAAATACCACTCCTGATAATTGATGGAGACGTATGGGATCTCAACAGTCTACAAAGACGAGGTAACACTTCAAACAAAAGCTTATGTGAGAACCAAGCATTTCCTAAAATAGGTCCTTCCTACGGTCGCCACTTCTATACTAGTGTGGGAATCAGAGGGAGGGGAACCCTCGGAGATCTTGGAAACAAATTTCCTTGGGCTCCTAGACGATCTAATAGGCACCATTTTAGAATCCAAACCATTTATATGAAGGCTATAGTTTTATTATGAACACATGCCATAAGAGTTTCTTTTCAAAGCAAATTAGCACAATCATTTACCCAGTATAATTGTGAACACCCCCAACCCACCCCTCCCCTCCCCTCATTTCACTAAGTGATACTTCTGCTATCAGCAGAACTTCCACAAATCATCGTGTTTCTTATCATGCAAGCTACCCTCCATACGCCATTCATAAAGATAATCATTTACACATGCACGCAGGGACCATTTGGTGCTTCAATAAACATGATCTTGGAAAATAGTACCACATTATCTGCACAATATTTTCCCACAACCTTGATCAATTTTGCAAAACTTATTCAAACGCTTAGACATAAATACACACCCCAATCTTCTCATTAACTCAAGACAGCATGAACAGCCATGCATCACTACCCACAAAATAAGGAAAGTCTCTCAGTCTATAAACCCTTACAATTTCTGTACCAGGTAACTTTCCCTGTGCGCTTCAATTTAACCGCGGGTGAAGCCCTTCCATCAATTCCTTCAAGTTCCCGCCTTCCCACCACACTCATCCCAGAACCCAACCATTACTAACGATCATATTTATGCATACATATGTACATATAAAGTTGAAAACAATCGGAAAAACCAAACAACCAAACTAAACAGTTATATTAAGCTTGAGTACACAATCCAAATTTTTAAATTCTATTCACTCACCACACTCCCAATCAATCAAACATATACAAAATCCGCATATCCATGAAAAAGTACATAGTTGAAATAGACAGATCAATGTTTTAGACAAAAATTACCAATAATTTCTCCTTATCAACCAACAATATATAGTATGCAATTAGTAGTAAAAATAACAAGTTTAGGCGCGCACATGCAAGAGTTCGTTCAAAACGACGTCGAAATTGGAGTCGTTGAGGCTTTCAAGAAGGAACCGAATCTGGTCCGACACGAGCAATGAGAAAGTCACCATCGCGAAGGAAATTTATAATATCAGTGAGTAAATGATTCTTTAACACTAACGAAATTAGGGTTCTTGCTTCTTGTTGTGACCAAGAGAAAGTGTGACTGGCAGAGACTAGGAATTTTTGTCGAAAGAGAGCAAGAGAAGAGAGTCGATCCGCTTTTATAAGTTATAGGCGATATTTTGGTAAAATGACCCATTGAATCTTTTGATAAAAATAAAAAATGACCTCAATGCCGAGTGTTTTGAAAACTAACCCATCCTGGTGAAGAAGTCTATAATGACCTTAATGATGAAAATCACAGTAGATTTAATAATCACCGAGAATTCAGCCAAGACCGTCTATATTTGACAGACAATCAAAGGGAACGTTTATTTGTAGTTATCAAATTATCGGTAATTATTTTTAATGCTAAAAAGTAAAAAAAAAAAACAATTAATTCAAATTGAATGAATTTTATTAGTTTTATTTGGGATTTGTTCCGAATTAAAATATGAATAAATGATTTTCCTAAGAAAACTTGTAGTCTCAGATATAATATATGTCTAAATAATTCTAATTATGATACACCATATAATTTATAGGTTTATATTATTTCTTTCCGGTACTACATTATTCTCTTTCCATTTGAATACTTTGGTTAGTTTTTAAGACTTTCAGCTTGGTGGTCATTTTTATTAATTATCATAGCGTTACATGCATCTTGGGTCTTCAGAGGAAATTATAGCTTTCGGCAACGTAACGGTATTGGCAATGGCAATATTGACTATTGAGCAAGGAATTTGAGGTGGGACCGAATCATGGGATGAATACCGGCTGGCCTGACGTGGCAAGTACCAACTATGGACCGTTGGATGAGAATTATTCATCCTTCTCGGATTATCTTAACTGCCCAATACCAATACCTTATTTTGTTTTGTTTCCTAAAGCATATAATAAAATATCATAATTGGTAATCCCATAAAATAAAAACAAATAATAATAATAATAATAATAAAATTACCAATTTACCATGGCTCTGTATATTGTTCCCTATATGAATATGTGTGGCTTCTCAATCTTAATGTTGAGCAAACTAAGATTACCTTATACAAGTGTTATTTAAGTCACATAAATCTCTTAGTAAATATTAATAATAATTAAATTTATTGTTAAAAAATTAATTTGATAATGTATTATACTTTATTACAAAATTAAGAATATTATTTGTTTCCTTATAAAATTCTCTTAATTCTCCTACTATAACATCCAAACTCCAACAGAAGCAACCATGTAGAGAAAAATGAACGAAATAGAGACAGCAGCAAGAATAAAATAACAATAAAGCAAATCACAAACAATAAACAAAAAGAAAATAACATGTGCCATTTATCCTGGATCACCCAATATAAGCTACGTTCAGCTGAGTTAATATTATTACAATACTTCATCACCTCTCTCGTTTACAATAATTGAATTGCTCTATTATTGCTATTACTCTCATAATAAGAGAAAAATATGTTTATATAATAGGTTTAAAGTGACAAAATCTAATTTTACAAGGATTCATATTCTTAAGTCCAAACTCAATAAAGAATTAATGACTTAAAGAAATCTTACCGCGGTTATACATGGAAAATGCCCAAACCGCCTACAGGCTTGGGGGTGTTGCCCCCACAACCCCCTCGGTGAGCGAAGCGGGGAGCGAGGTCTCCGAATGCATCTGTATAACCCATTAATGCTGAAGTAGTCGACAACTTCAACAAAAAAAAGTAATGAACTAATATATTCTCGAAATTTGAGTCTCTTTGATGGTAAAAAAAATAAAAAGATGATCTAACATGGTTTTCCGAGTTGAGTCCTCACAACTGCTAATAGAGGTGACCACTAGAGCTCTTACTTGGTCGATAGTTCCAGAGTCTCAGGAGATTAGTTAAGGTGCACCCCTGGTCATTAAAAAAAAGAAAAATGATATCCTTACAAAAACCCATACAAAGAGGGTTACAAAGTGACATCATTCAGAAAAAAATAAAGAAAAAACGGAAAGAGAGAGAGAGAGAGAGTGAGTGAGTGAAATCATAAAAATCAAGGGTGGGGATTGTCTTTGTATGCCCTATTTGTATGTGTCTTTGTAAAACTAGCATTGCTCTTAAAAAAAAAAAGAGTAATGAACTAATAATAATAATCGACATTTAGTTTTCAATATCAAAATATTTTAAAGTTTATGGTTTAAAATTGCATTTCAAAAATTGGTTTTGTCTTGTTTCCAAAAATAAAGATTGTATAAATCTCTTATGAATTATTCCTATTTATGCAATAATATTGAACATAAAATTTGTGATATTCACTATAAAAATATACCATAAACATTAATTTATTAACAAAAACAAAACATTGATAGATTTATAAAATAAGAATAATACTACACTTATAAAGAAATTTTACAAAGATCTTCATACAAAGTATCTCAGGTTCAATGTAAAGAATTAAAATTTAATATTACCACTTTTACTTTCTTAGTTATAAACTTATATATATATTTTATGAATGGTGGTGTCCGAGCCAACTTACGCGCACCTCAACTAATCCTTCGGGATTTTGAAGTTGACAATCGGATAAATCTCCTCAATGGCCTTTCCCACTTAACAACCCAGGTGGATCGAAAATAGAACCTCTTGAATAATAAATTTAAGAGTCTTAGTTTACCGTTGGGTCATCTAGCGGTGGTTAGTTATGAATTGATATTCTTTCACAAACAAGGCTAGCTTTGATTAAAAATAAAATAAAATAAAAAATTAATTAGGTTATTGCAACAAATTTAATCTTATTTACAATTTCACAGTAATTTTTTGAATTTTTTTTTATTTTTCACCCTTTATACTCACCTTTTAACTTTTCACTAAATCCAAGATCTTTCTCAATCTCCCTCCATGTTTACAGTCACAGGAAAATTTATCTAGTTTTGTTCAATATCAACTTCTTTTAGTTTTGTTCGACCACAGAATATAGATAGAGAACACGTACTCTGATGAGTAAGGTTAATTTCCTGTGTTTTTATCTTTTTAGACCTCAATTATAATTATTTTTTTTATTACAATTTTATCCCTTACAAAAATTACTAAATAATATACACAAAGATTTATAAGCAAAACCCAAANAAGAGGAAAATTTATCTAGTTTTATTCAATATCAACTTCTTTTAGTTTTATTCGACTATAGAATATAGATAGAGAAAACGTACTCTGATGAGTAAGGTTAATTTCCTGTGTTTTTGGTGTAAATCTTTTGTTATAATTCATAAAAGGCTTGAATTACATTTTCCCATCTGAATTTTTGCAAAAATGCTATGGACCCCGAATGTTGATACCAAAATTTTGCAACGATCTATGTGGCATCTGACTCGGACGTGTCACATAGGACAGAACATAAATATTTAGTGAATGAACGACCGTCTAACAATTATGGACATTCTTCCATATCTTATGGACAACCGTTCATCACAAATGGACGAGAGTCCAAAAAATATCAATGGACTCTCATTTATATATTATGGACGGCCGTCCACATTATATGGACGACCATCCATATAATTTTAAAGCGCCAATACGTCTCAAATATATATTTTTTTAATTTACAAATTTTTTTTCACTTATAAAAACGTATAGCTTGTATAAGACGTTTCTACAAATAAATGTCAAAATTTTTAGATGAAATATTCATTTTTAAAGCACAAAAATTTTTAGATGAAAATAAAGGAAAAAAAAAATAACTTTGATTTTAAGTACAAAGTATGGATGGCAATCCATCTAATGTGGTCATCCAAATGAGATGGACTGGCGTCTATACTCAAATAATGTTTTTTTTTAAATTAACAATTTTTTTTCATTTATAAAAAATGTGAAAAGCAAGAGAGAAATGAAACCTGTTTTGGGAGGCCTAAATTTTTAACATTCTAATTGAATATTTTAAAGAAATTTTTTTTATTATACTAGGATTTGGGTACGGACGATCGTCCATTGTATATGGATGATCGTCCGTATAAGATGGTCGTCCGTCCATTATTTGTTTTTAAACTTTTTTGGACAGGTGTCCATTTACTATGGACACCCATTCATATTATATGAACGAAAGTCCATTAATATTGTCGTAGACAATCGTCCATTCGTGATGAACAACCTTCTATAACGTATGGACGGCTATCCGTGTAAAATGGATGGTCGTCCATTCACAGAATCAATATTTTTTGTCCAATATGACTGCGTCTTAGTAGATGCCACATTGTTCGGTAAAAAATTTCAATGCACAAATTCGGTGTCCATAGCATTACGGATTTAGAAACTATCAATGTCCCACCCATCGTCATTCGTTAGTGTTTGTTAATATAATGTGGCTCCTGAAACAATTTTAGTGGATGCAATGACTTCAATGCCCCTAAGATAGTGGCTATTTTTTTATTTTCTACTGAAGGGTCAGAAAAGCAAAAGAGAGGGAGAGCAAAAATAAAGTTAAAAGGAAATATTTATGTTCATTTCATTTCATTTCAATAGCATATTTATCGGGGCATATTCCATACATGGACCTCTCAAATGTCAGAGAAAAAAGAAGACAACGATGAAATTTACCGTTGTGAATGAATGTCTCTTTGTTTCGAAATAAAGTTCGAGCATGCCCACATGACAAACATCTCATGATGAGAATAATTTCTTTTCTTGGATTATTTTTTGCATACACAACGTGTTATGATAGAATAAACTACAAACCAGAAATGTTGGAGATAATGACACTCCGAAGGAGAATATCAACGCTTGTAGAGATATAGGAGGTTGGGAGAAAGTTACCTCTAATGGAGGCATTTAACTGAATTCATCGTCAATAAGTTCAAATGCCAATGGCGTCAAGAAGTTCTGAGTGTTGAGAAACTGAAACTAAGGAGTTGGCAACGATGGCACCGCTAGCAGCGACAGCAGGGACTCCAATGCCGGGAAAAGTTGAATCTCCACAAGTATAAAGCTGAGGAATGGGAGTTGAATGCCCAGGAAAAGTGTCTTTACCAGCTTGTATTGCTGGGCCATAAGTTCCTCTATTTCGTCGAAGAAACCTTTGATGTGTCAAAGGAGTTCCAACCATCTTAACATCACATT